AAAACGACATCATGAAGACTTATTTAGATCTTGTTGATGAGTGCGATACGTAAGTATTTTTAATTTTGAGTTCTTTCATTAATTTGGCTGTTGCTAGATGGTATCACAGCATGGGAATGGTGGAGTGAGTGGTGACTTCTGAGGGAGGTAGCGGGGGTTGGACTGCTCTTGGAGAACACAATATCTTGTCAAACAGCCAAGTGGTTGGTCAAATAAAGTTTTAATCCGTTTGGAGATACATTGGATTACAAGAGTGAAGAGGAGCCATCTTCCCCAAGAGCGTTGTTGAATTGAGCGAACTGTCAAACTTCAAGTTCAATATACCAAATACTCCACGCAACTCCATAACCATATTCAATCTCATCCTGACCCTCAAAGTTTTCTCGCACTATCTATGCTTGCTTTCTCAAGTCGTACCCCGACTAATATCGCCTCAGATTCCCCTACCCGGAAAAAGATGCCACCGCCCACTCAACTCTGACCTCCACCCTCTACACTCTCATTCATGAGGACCCCTCCACATCCACCACCTACCCCCTGGGCTATATCACTCTCCCCGTCTACAGTGCTCTCCTCAAAGTTCCCACCAGCATCAAAGGAGAAATGAGCATCAACCAATCTCAGCGCACCATCTCCCTCTTTACGCAAGCCACCGAACCCGAACGCAGTGCCGCCGTTGCAGCAACATGCGAATATTGGCGCACCAACAAAACCTTCGAAGTTCTATCCGGCTGGCGGGATGAGCTATATCCTGTCTATGGTCCTGGAAATGAAGTACTCTGGTCCATTGAACGAAGCGCTTCGGTTTTGTTCGGTATTCTCGGTTATGGAATTCACATGATGGCATATGTGCGCTGTCCCGAAGTGAAATATGGCATGAAATTGTGGGTCCCGAGACGTTCGGCCACAAAACAGACGTATCCATCTATGTTAGACAACACAGTCGCAGGAGGAATGTCTACGGGAGAAGATAAATTCGAGGCTTTGGTGAGAGAGTGTATGGAAGAAGCTAGTTTTCCAGAAGATATTGTCAGGAAAAATGCAAAGGCTCACGGCGCTCTCACGTATTTCCATGTACGGGGAGCCACTGCTGGAGGAGAAACGGGTTTGATGCAGCCGGAATGTGAATACATTTATGATTTGGAGTTACCTGCTGATGTCATTCCTAAACCGAATGACAGCGAGGTGGAACAATTCTACCTTTGGACAGTGAAAGAAGTTCAAGAGCACATGAAGATGGGAGAGTTCAAATCCAATTGCGGAATTGTTCTATTGGATTTCTTCATCAGATACGGCATATTGACAAGGGAAAACGAGAGCGATTTCGACGAAATCAACAGCAGGATTCATAGAAAATTGCCATATCTAGGACCTCACAATATTTGAATATTTTAGTATTCCAGATTTGAAAAAGGTATCTGGTGCTTGAACGCCCTCAAGACTTTTTCAATTTCCCATCCACAACGCCCCACGCAAATGCAAAACCACATATGCATACGATAAATCGGGTTTGGTAACTAATCGATTTTCGTCTGCCAGATTCCTCACAAGGATTTCACCACACCATAGATAGCGAGTCCTTTCCTCTCTTCGTTTTCGGTTTCCCGGGCAGTTTCTCAGTTCTATCTATTTCTTGACGAGAAGGTAGACATAGTCGACTCTCAGAGGTGTAAGCTTCTTATAAGGACCCTCCAACCCCATCAACAATCCACCGAAGGAGATGTATGCCTTACTAAATCAGAAGTCAGCCAACCATTTCATAACATAGATAGATATCATAGCCATATAGCAAGCAAACCATCGATCCAATCCCCCATCTCAAGAAGAAGAAGAAACTCACATAAGATCACTATTCTCCTGATCCTCAAACTTATAAATCTTCCCATGACACACATAATCAAACATATCCGCAAGCGTAGCCTCACCCCCCAATCCCATGCGATTAGCATCTCTCCATCCCTTTCCATCATCCTTTGTACCATCCAAATTGAGAGATGTCGCAAGCACAACGCGAATCGTGTCGCCGACGGCTAATGGGAATAGCTCGGTATTGATATCCAAAAGCATAGAGACGGAGTGGTCGGCCGTGGAAGTCGCCTTGATACGTCCTACTCGTACATATTTCTTATGATCTAACTCGTTGACGGTGAAGTGCTCGTCGAAAAGTTGCGCGTCTTGAGGTCCAGACATTGTGGATTAGGAATGGGAGATCGTGGAAATTGTGATGGTACCGTTTGGACTTGAGGATCTTTAGGGTTTTGTATTGATTGTTATGTAAATTGATCGAGATGTCAAAATATAATTCTATCGGCCTTCGATTTAAATGATACGAAAGTGTGGTATTAATGGCGTTGCTACAAGTAAATACTCAGTAAAAGAAGCTTTGTCTTTCGCAAAATATTGCACTCATCCAAAAACATCGAAAATCCAGCCGGAGATCGGTCAAACGAATATTCCGGCGCAAAAAAATTAATCGCAAGTAATTAGCTCATTCGCTTTTAGGTGGGATATAATCCCATAAAAATACCTACCCCGCGGCCATCAAAATTACTTCTCGTCATAATTCCCACCACCAATTTTTTCCAGCATGGCTTTTCGAAAACGTAACGTGGCAATCGCGCAACCGGGAATCCAAACCTCGCAGACTCCAATTCCGGAAAAAGTAGCACCGATTCCTGGGATTCGTCCCTCACCACTCGATGGTCGTCCCACGACATCGACGGGGATCCGTTCGCTGGATTCTATACTCGCTGGTCATGCGGGACTCGCACTCGGAACTTCGTTGCTACTCGAGGAGAGTGGGACTACGGATTTTGGGGGCACGCTGTTGAAATATTATGCTGCGGAGGGAGTGTTGCAAGGACATCATATTCATGTTTTGGGGATGCATCAAGGATGGGGAAGAGAATTGCCCGGAGTGGGTGTTGCGGAGGGATCATCTTCGAAGAAAGATGCGGAGAGTAAGGCGGCAGATGATAAGATGAAGATTGCGTGGAGATATGAGAGATTGGGGGAATTTGGGGCGAGTGGTGCTAGAGGTGGGTGGCCCTTTGTATATATGTTTGACGGATTCGTAGAAGAATATAATATCGAACTACAAAAGCTAATGATCTTATTTGTGTGTAGAGAGAAATACCGTGCAATCAAGTACAGGCTCTTCGGGTCCACCTTCAATATTCTGTCACGACTTCGATCTTAGTAAACGATTGATTCCACCTTCGTCTACTCAGATGCATTTCATTCCCACGATTCTCAGGCCCGACTTCGAATTCGCAGATACAACAAACGAAACAAAATCACCCTTCACACCATTCCTCCAACATCTCTCGATTCAACTCTCCCGAACCCCTCCTACAACTATCCACCGCATCATCATTCCCTCCCTCCTCTCACCAGCTCTATACCCCTCGCATGCCTCTCTCCCCCACCACATCCTCCCCTTCCTCCACGCTCTGCGCGCTCTACTCCGCCAACACCCCACCCGACTAACTCTCATGCTCACCCTTCCTCTCCCCCTACACCCCCGCACTACCGCCCTCACAAAATGGATCGAGCTCCTCAGCGACGGCGTTCTCGAAATCGCTCCATTCCCATCTATAGCCATCATCCCTAAAGCCACACCCTCTAGCTCCTCGAATCCCGCTCAAGAAGAGCCTCCACAAGGCATGCTCAAAATCCATCGCCTACCCATATTCCACGAAAAGGGCGGTGGAAGTGCGGGATTCGCAGGCGATGATTTGGCATTCTCCCTAAGTAGGAGAAAGGGACTGGTAATCAAACCCTACAGTCTACCACCCGTTGAAGACGAAGGGGAAGAACAAAAGGGCGGGATCGACATAGATGGAAAGGGAGGAAAAGCCACCAAAGTCGATATAGAATTTTAGATCATCATAATTCCCCCCCATCTAATAAATAGATGGACAAAATTTGTATGTAGCATAGCACCGGCGTTTGAGACGGATAGGCAACTTTACTCGGAATCGGAATGTTCAATATGATCTCCCAACATATCTTGCATCTGGAATTGGTTCCAAGTACCGTGTCCATTGGATGTGATGGCTCCCATGTAGTTACTGTCATATATGGCTTCTCGGGGATTATATGACATTCCTGAGATATGACGACGGGCTCCTTCACCCAGACATGAGGTGAGTATCATCCATGCTGTAGTATTTGTTAGTGCTTGAGTGATGTGTGAGGGGTGGGAATGGTTCAGGATAGGATCACATGCCGATGAAAAGCGTAATGCCAATTGACATCACTAGAATCAAGGGCCAAAGTGCAGGCATTGTGAATCATGGGATATTCAGGAAATGTTGCTTCATGCTATTCACGCAGAGCTGGAGGTGAAAAGGTCATGCTGACTAATGCAATATCGCATCTTCGATATGTTGAAAGTACTTGCATTTCAAACTTTTACATGGAGATACAATGTATATGCTACAAAAGTCTTCATCGGTTAGTGTGATGTTTTATATGAGATCACGGTATCACGAATGCTGCAATGAATATTGCAATTGGCAAATGGTTTAAATTATGACTATCTGATAATGCACTAAACCTGCCACTGAAGGCATTTCATCATTCCATAGTGCTGAAAACTAAAGGACCTACCTTAATCCGAACTTACCTGTAAGTATTATCCAAATCAACTTACTACACCAACATGACAAGCATTCAAATTCAAAGACTCAAATGAACCTAATAGCACCCATCAATTAGCATGGAACTAATACTGATGTTTAATGCCAAATATGAATTTCCAAGATTGTTCAGAAAGCCGTTTAAATCAAGCACTTCAACCGGCGACAGAGACTTGAATTACAAGACGCAAGACGAATCTCTGAAGCTCTGAAACCCCAGCTCCACAACCTATCATCCCAAGCTTGAAGGCCTAGTCCGGTGCGGGAGTAGGGTTCGGTTGATGAGCATTCATGGAATGGATAAGCTGTTATCATCATAACGAGGAAGTGCTGAAGGTGATGTAGAGTATACCGTACCTATGAATATCGTTTTTGCGCCTTTGATGCGGAACATGTGGAAAGAATCTGTAACTGAAGTGACAATTAGCTTTTGTAATGCTTAATTTGTTAAAAAGCAAATTGAGGTAATGTCTTTTTGGATCAGAAAATTTTTGGTATATTGGTTATCAACATGAAAGTTCAGAAGCAGAACTGATTATTTTTTTTTCATCATATAAAGACTGCTTGGAGCGCGAAAATTGGAAGATAGGTGAACTTACAAATGAGAAAACTCTTGCTTCAGGTGCAATAGATAGCAGTATAGTGTTGTTGGAATGTATGCTGTTCGAAGCGATCATTGTCCATAACCTTGAGACAATTGTTAGCAATTGAAAATAGTGAACATTTCTGATAGATATACGAGCATTAAAATCGTGGCTCATATGGTGATGCATGTTTGTTCGTGGCTCAGGAAATCGCCGAGAACTAAAAGGTGTGTAGTTTGAATCCGGGCCAGCACGATGTGAATGAAGAAAAGGATGTAAGAACTTACCAAGTTAATTGGGAAAATAGTCCGGCTGCGACTGAAGATATTAGTGCTCGAAGTTTTAAACTTCTTGTCCATTAATACCGTTGCATCAGATATCGCTGGTATACTTATTGTAATGCATTGCTTGAGAAGCAATTGAAGAGGTTCGAGATGTTGAAGAAGGAAACTTGCAACTATCTCGATACCAAATCAGAAGAATATTTTTTAATGTATGGAAGAGAAAATCTGGTCGAGGTTCGCGAAAATTTAAGAAGCTTCAACCGCGCTAAAACTGTTTGCAAGGATAGTATCGGTCCGTCTATTTTTCCGAACTCCCCGGCAAAAATGTTGATACTTCCTACCGCAGAGAGCTGTTTGCGATGAAAGTAAAAACTAGAAAGACGATACAATAAATAATAATTTGGATTGACCATTTTCACCAATTTTTATATCAATCATGTCTGATCGAAGGAGAATAAATGGCCCCCCTAGTGGAACAAATCCACCAGTCTTTTTAAAGTATCTTACCAAAGATTCAAAGAATCGTCCAGAACGACCTTCAAGGAATAGACAACCCAATGTTTTAAGGAAAATTTGTATGTATATATCAATTTTAATACCAATAGTTCTCAACTCATCTTCGACCAGTTTTAAAAACCGGTGTAACACCATCAGCATCAGGATCCGCATATCTCGAACTTGAACCATCTCAACCCTCGAATCTATCAGCCCCAGGCCTTGCTTCCCTCTCTACATCCGGTCTCAAACTTGCATGTACCGTCCATGGCCCTCGACCATTACCTAAATCCGCCGCATTTTCACCGCATATGATCCTACAGACTCATGTTAAATATGCGCCATTTGCAGCTAGAAGAAGACGAGGATATGTCAGAGATACAAGTGAAAGGGATCTTGGAGTGCATTTGGAAACGGCATTGAGAGGTGTAATCATCGGTGATAGATGGCCTAAGAGCGGAGTAGAGATAAACATTACGATTCTTGAAGGCGAGGAGGATCATTGGTGGGGTGATGATAAATCTTTTGGTTCGTTGACTGCTGGTGGATGGGGTATGATGAGTGTACTCAGTGGTTGTATTACTGTTGCTTCTGCAGCTATTGCCGATGCTGGGATTGATTGTGTTGATGTTGTTTCTGGCGGAGTCGCCGCATTAGTACGTTCACCGGCCACTCCAGAGCAGGATGGTTCCACTGAATTGGTCTTGGACCCAGTACCATCTGAACATAAGGAAATTCTAGCTGCATGTATTGTGGCATATCTTCCAGCTCGAGAAGAGATTACAGACCTTTGGGTGAAAGGAGATATTGGGCATTCAACTGAGTCTAATACTGATGATCCATCTTACGGAAAACTTACGGAAAATGCGGTACAGGCAGCTTTGGGTGCACATAGGGTTCTCATTGGAGCTCTGAAGGAAACTGCAGATATCAAATTCAGAAGATAAAACTGTACTTTCAATGCTTGCTCGTGTGTTTGAGATTGGAGTTTTTGGGCGTTAGAAAAGAGAGTAATCATCAGCCAATATTGGCTTAGGATGAACAAGGCGTTAAAGGAAATTAGGACCTTACTGCATTGCATGAAAGCGAGGAGTTTCTCGTGATCTATCGAAAGTTAGGCTTCGATATCTACGTTGAATGATTACAGAATTGTCATTGTTCATTTTTAAACATGGATACACATTTTTCTTGATACACCTTTTTACATGATTGATTCTATGCTGTATGTTTCAACATTCAGATTGTCCGTCATCCTATGAATGAATACTATTCAAAAAGTCCAATTGAAGCCCCTTCACATTCTTGACAATAAAAGAGCACCACAAACACTCCTCTCATCTTTATAGAGGTTTAGATATGATATATGAAAAATATCTAAAGAAATCTCTCAAACAAACACCAAGCTTTCACTTCATACAAAAACACTGAGTATTCTAAGCCAAACTGCATACCAATACCCTCCCAAAAATAAAAACATCCCTAAACTCAATCGTTTCGTTCATGTATCCACAGTTCGCTTTCATCATCTTGTGGTATATAGAAGACCAAACTTCCCATATCCCAAGTCAACTTGATGAACAATTTGGAGAAATTATTGATCACCTTCTTAAACACCATACTTTGATATTTCAATACAACACAACACAACGTTGTAATCTCACTCTTAAATTACGTCTCTAACATCGCTAAACCTTCTAGCTCCTCAGTATCACTCAGGAAGGCGGATCAGCAATTCAATTACTTGCCAATATACAAACTCGGTAAGCTAAAGAGTGAAAAGAAGGACGCGAATAACAACAAATATGCCCTCGAAAATCCAACTCGATGAAAATCTGGTGTTTTTGTATATTTGTCTACAGAAGTCAGATATGAAAACTGTGAGTACATTCCATGAATGGGATTTGATGTTGATGATCTGGTTATATATTGACAACTCTGTAAACTACGCACCGCCCGTTGCACCCTACCCATTTTATATCCCCCATCCCCTTTCCCATCAAGTCAATCAATATCCATGATTTCCTTCCTCTGACTTTCTCTCCATCTTATAGATTGATTTCGCAGCCGTAGGCCACACGACTAATCTCAAATCCCCCGCCGCACGTATGCGCTACACAAGACTGAAACGCCAGATTGAAAGGGGAGTTATTGGGGCGAATGCGAATATTAATCTTGGGGGTGGGGGTGATGAGAGGGAGCGGAATAGAGAGGAGAAGGAAAGGAGAAAGGAGAAGAGAGAGAAGAAGATGAGGGAGAAGAAGGAGAAGGAGGAGGAGAAGAAGGAGGAGAAGAAGGAGAGAGAGGGTGTGGAAAAGAAGGAGGGAGGGGAGGGAAAAGAGTGGGATAGGGTGGAAATGAAAATGGGTGGCGGGGTGGAGAAAAAGGAAGGGAAAAGGAAGAGAGAAATTGAGCTTGAGAGTAATACGGAATCAGACGCAGACGCGATCTCAGAACCGGATTTCCAGCTGCAAGGATGGAAAAAACTCTATCCTCAAAAATTCATCCTCTCCATTCCCCGCAGATTTTCTCCCTTCCAACCAAGCTTCCACGTACCCGCACACCGAACATCCCTCTCACCCACACCTCCCCAATTATCCCGCACCTTCTGCTCCGCAAACCAACATCTCGCAATCTCAACGCGATATCTCAGATTCACAACCCATCTCCCAAACTCAGCCCTCCCAAACCCCCACCTCTCCCCCCCTCAACCCCCAAATAAAACTCGAACCCTACTCCCCCTTCTCCTCATTCTCATCCTATTCTACCGAGCGCAGCCTTCCGAATTTCCACGAGCACGTCACTACTACCACCGCCGATAACAACAACGAAGAAAACGAAGACGCAGATTCCGAAGACGAAATGCCGCTTGCGAAACGGAGGGGTGTGGGAAGACGATATACTTCTCATTCGCATTCGCAATCTCAATCTCATTCTCCAAATGGAAATCCAAATCCAAGCAGGGAAATGATCTCACAAACAAATACGTCGAAAATCGCAGAGGGATATAGAGATGCACATTCTCAATCTCATCCCCACTCTCTTTCTCATTCTCATTCCCATGGATTTTCTGAAATGAGAGATCCATATCAAAGCGAAACGTCGAATGAATACACATACACATATACCCACTTTCCTCGCTCCTCCACCGCGAATCCCATACACGAACCTGGTGCTGGTACTTCTTCTCAATACACATACGCATACGCATACCCGAATCCCTACCAACATCCCTATCAACATCCCTACACCTACAGCTCACCCTACAAATCTATCTACACTCCTCACACTTCCGGTTCTCCCGAGATATTCGAGGTCTTGGATTCCACGCCCTCTTCCTCTCCCTCATTTCCCTCTCCCTCATCTCCATCAAAATCAAAATCTCCATCAAACCCCACCTCCACACTCTCAAACAAACCTCCTCACCCATCCCCCCATCCCCCACCTCAACCCCACCCCTACAACTGGACCGACACATACCAATCCTACCGACATCTCTGGGGTACCGAGCGCCTCGCACGGGTCTCGCCTCCTCCTCCTCCTCCTCTGCTTCCGTCCCCGTCCCCGTCTGTATCGACTTCTTTGCTTTTACACCATAACCACAATCACAACCACAACCACAATAGCAATAGCAATAACTACAACGATAACAATATCGCTACTGCGAACACGACTTCCGAATCTGATTTTCCTCCCCTTCCTACTCCTACTCAGTCGCCTCGTTCTAATACTCATTTATCGTTGTCGCAGTGGTGAGTGATTGATTGATTGGTTGCTTGCTTGCTTCCTTCGAGTTTTATTTTCCCAGTCTAGATAAGGTTTAGATGAGATTAGAAAAGGTTGCAATAGATCAGGCAGGATTAGACCAAATAGATTTAACTCTACCATCTCATCTCATTTCGAAATATAGAAATGGCTACTCCCATTTCAGATTTCACCTCCGCAATTGCTTTCTCCTAGATGACATACCAGATACACATAAGAAATGAATAATATCGAAACAATCCCATCACATTCTCATCCACTCCACAAAGATAATATCACAGACACCCCAAAATTGTGCACGAGAAAATGATTATATATATCAACTGAATTAATTAATTCATCGGCATACTATGATAATGCCTCTCATCTCATACTCTATGTGCAGTACAGATATACCATCCATCTATTCGCGATCGCTGTCTCAAGATTGCAATGGTAATCCCATGCGTATCCTAGAGAATATGTATGTACAAAAGTCCTTCTCTGTAATAGCCATAATATCCACAAGCTGCGCCATATGTCAAGCCAAGCTTGCAGTCATTTATACTCAATCAGCAACATCCATCATTCCCAACGCCATTTTTCAAATCCCATTGCATTCCAAGTAAAAGCGCCATGCTAAAAGAAGAATATATGATAAAATAAGGATAAAGAGAGAAGCTCCCCAGTTTCGAATTGGAACATGTTTCCTCATTCACTGGTCTGTCGATTCATCCATTCTCGGATTCTCGTGTCATGACTCTTCGAGCGGCGTCATTAACGGACTTTTCCTTGTTGGACTACCCGTTCTACTTCTTCTTCCTGCACCCAAGGAATGCAAAGTAGGAGCCAATCTTTCCCGACTTTCCGTTCTGACTACCAGACCACTTCTACTCCATGCATTTGGAATGCCGCTTCCCAGACCAAGGCCAACACCTTGGCCATGCTGCGAATTATTATCGAAATAATTGGCCGCCTCAAAATTAACCACATTCAACTTTGGAGTTGCCAATCCAGAAGATCTTCCTACTCGAGATCCTTCACTTCCATCCGAATTGTCGTTTTCTTCGGATGAATCAATGTCACCCAATTCGAACTCAGCAGCGGCATCACCATCTTCCAATACCCGTTCGTAACTAGTGGAGCCTCGAGATCCGAATAACTTTCCTGTGCCGAAGAAACCACGAGAACCTTTCTTTGGGCTACCTGGTCGACGGTTCCGACGTATAATTGTAGTGACACCTCTATATAACCGAAGCCTTCTATCCCTCTTGCGGAATAGATAAGCAAAGACTACTACAAGAAAGAAAAATAAGAGAAGCCCAGGAGTGGATCGAGAATGTGCCTTTTCAATGAGATCATCGGCTGCATCAGACCAATCATCGTCGTCTTGAGTTACGGGATTTGCATTCGAGCCAGCCAATTGAAAGTCTGTGGGGACTCCCAAAGTATTGCTACCAAAGCCGACTGGTAAAGCGTCCTCACTTGCTGGGGGAACTTGACCAGATGCATACAATATCATCTTTCCCAATGTCCAACTGACTTCTACTCCATCAATCTTATCGACTGCTTGAAATGGATCCAAGAAACCTTTGCCTTTCGAGTGAAGCATCATTTCCTTCGTCGCATTATAATTTGGTCCTGGCTTCTCCAATCCGACTCTCGGTACTCCAATTCCATCGTGAAGAACATTGATTAGCCATGAAGCTTTAAAGCAAACTTCTTGCGCTGTCTTGGCATCTACCTTCTTTCCCCATTTCTTCTTCTTGACCTCTTTCTCAATGTCATCCCATTCCTCACTGCAAAAATCTTTTACCAAAGCTTGATATTTCGTGAAATCATAGGCTCTATCTTTGTGTGACATTTCAAAAACCTCATGAGTTGTATGCCAATACTCAGAAACTCCAACGAAATGGTTGACATCAAAATCGATAGCAGGAACATGTTGCCCGTGAAGCAAGCAAGGTTGGTCGGCACAAGGGGCGTCTTTATCTAATAAGGGATATGTCGCTGCTAAGCATTGATCGAAGCGACCGGTACCTAATAAGATGGGATCTTTTCTCGGCGATTTCAAACCGTCAACAATATCTCCATCCAAGGTCGTTTTGAGGCCAGCTGGAAGACATGGGTCGAGCAATTCTTTGGTATCCTTGGTATAAGAAGCATCCATTAAACTTTCGACGTAACGATGTCTAGCTTGGTTGACACCAAATCCTAACCATGTCGTCGTGAAAACTTTATATTCTGCGGGTTGTCCATTCATAGTCCGCATTCGTAATAACTTGAGGTCATTTGCGTGTTTTTCGGCTTCGGTAGTATTGGGCGCAAATGCAATTTGCGCTGACGCTCCACCCATATCTAAAAATCCATATGTATGGTGTCCCTTGCCATGGGCATGTTCTTCTGGTGTATCGAAACCTCCGAGTAGATAATTTGCAGCGATCCATCCATATAGTCCTTCCGTTTCACCGGGGATAACTTGGATATGTAAACCACAATCTGGCAAGTCGAACTTTGTATGCTTTTGAGCATAGGCGCAAATCTCGGATAGAAGTACATTTTGTTGAACTTGAGGTAGTAATCGCATACCCGCTGTTGCCATTAAGAATATTGGTGTATCGGACACTTGATCTTTCGGGACGACATCGAGAGCGTGGTCGAGGAGCTGTTGTAAATGTTCTGGACCAACATCTTGAGGCCTTTCGCCGAACGTCGATACGCCTGGCTTTATCTTCTTCGTCCATTTCTTGTTGGTTTCCAACTTGGGCAAACTTTTTAGGGTGAGAGCATCGGGATTCTGTAATGCTTTGGCACTGTTAAGCCATCTATAGATGTGAACTCGAGTTCCTGACGAACCCGCGTCCAGGATCACACCATATCGCCCTATTTATTGACAATTGTTGGTTAGCAAAGGTTGATTGTGGTGTGAGTATAGCTGATGGATTTGTTGAAGGGTTGATTTACATTTACCCATGAGGAGAATGGGAATCGATTGAAATTGGTAAAAAGGTATCGAGGTGACGAGAGGTATTGAGCGACGAGGTGAGTTGGGTGGACGAAGGGAAGGGTGGTTGGTATGCTTGATAGGGTGATCTCTTCAATCCCTTATCTTTTCGATATTTTGCGATGATTAAGATTACGAGTGTAGATGTATATGTATGAGGTGAGATGCGAGGTAAATCGGACCATAGAAGTAATTGCCTCCAGCTGATGAAGATTTCCAAGGTTTCCTCAATCCCTTATCTCTTCGGAAGTTTTGCGAGTGTCGATATTATGGATTTGAATGCATTCGGTCGAAAGTTTCAATGGGAAAGAGCGAAAGGGGTGTACTGACTGTCTGTTATGAACGGAGAAGAACGCTGAAAACGAATGGAATGATCTTCAACGAGTGGAACTATTGAGATCAAAGTAAGGTAGTAGGTAAGATTACTTGGTACATGAAAATAGGTGGGAGGATTGATTTTGTTTTGTTTTGTTTGTTAATTGATTAAGTTAACTAAAGAAAGTATTTGGTAATTGGTTCTTCGTATTGCGATAGCGATGATATACTAGGTATGCATGAACGGTTGTGAATGCGAATGTGAACCTAAGTAAAATGGAGTGGTGAGTGGGTGAATTGGTGCAGATTAGGTAATCTTACCAGGTAGGGACGGATGAATTTATCGCAGGACCAAGACATTACCAAGAACCGCCTAATTTGGTATAAAAGCTTGGGGAGATTATAGGATATGATTGGATAAGAGACAGAAAAACAGGGGATGGTCAGAAGAATTAATGCCTTAATATGTGTCGATACAGATCTAAGGCCACAGGATCTATATTTAAAACACCCATCACTAAACCTTATTAGTAATAACCTATTCCGTCTAGTCCACTTGCATGGTGCAGCATCATTATTCCACACACCAACCAATCGATCCTACTCTATCTATTCAATGCCCACCACCGCCCACCGAATCCACCAAACAAACTTCTTTGAACTTTTCGTCAAAGGAAAACCCCTCCTCAAGATGTTGGGGATAACAATACGAGTCTATGGAGTCTCTCTTCCTTGGATTCGAGCATATTCCTCATCACACTCTCTCGGTACATATACGAACGACTCCAGCCAACATCAACATATCAATACGAAAGGCCACGTAATTTCGGGCTTCTCTAGGATCTACTGAAACTCCAACCAACGACGGTTACAACCACTAGTTGCTCAATCATCGATTCCGTGGTCTTCCTAGGATCTACATACGTTCACATCCTCGTCACAGATATATCAACCTTCCTATATGGGCTTCAGATAGCATGCAACTTTATCCAGCAACCATGTGTGGCTTTAGAGTGGCTATCTTGTTAATCAAGAACTTTACTCGTTGACGTCTCATTCACATGGTCCTCATCTTGAATCTCATACTTTCTGCACACAAACATACATAATAGCATGTATTGTTTATATGTCTGTTTTCTGAAGACTGAGATAGTTCTCAAACATCAGTTGGAAAAGACACCGTGCCGCGTAATACATGGACGTGCGCCGTCTGTTCTCGTTACTTTGGATGATTGTCAAACAGCACCAACCACATGCTTTCAAAATTTCAACCCTTCATAGAACATGAAGACATTTACACTATTCTAGAATGGCTAAAGAGAACAGAGTCTATGGAGTGAAAATTCTACTAGTTTTGATTGGGACTAGCTCCATTGACATCATCTCACCACCGGATCATGAATAACTTCAACATATACCGGTAATTTATACATGTGATGGCTGTTCTCGAAATTCCCAAAAATATATCTTTGTGTCTGTGTTCATGTTTGGCACTCTATTTTATGTAGTCATATCGTAATTCTTTCAATCTTTACATAAAACTGCTGAAGCTTTTACCAAATAATTGTGTTTGTAGACTGTAGATAGTCTCAATATAGCCTCAATCGTCACTATTGAATATTCCCGTGTCAATCATTTTGTTTTTTGGAGAAAGTGAAAAGCGGCTTCTCCTATAACTTTCATTACTGGTGACGCTCTTTTTCTATCTATTAAAATATGACAGATGCCTATTGTTTGTAGAATGTTATTGTCCCTATTCCAACATTCTTGTATTGATTGTTAGTCGAACGGTCAGCTGGGTCATTCATATGTATATATTCATCATTTTTTTCTCTATAAATTTCAATTTCGCCGGTTTTGCGGCCCATGAAACTGTGCTGCCTGGCATGTCTATAGATGACTTAAGCGAAGGTACACAACGGGGAGATCTCGACCTATGAATTGGTATCCAGAGGTCCCGTTTCTTATTCTTTGTACGTCTTCGAAACTTTCATTTTTGAATCATCTGTAGGCTTCAACACTTGAACATTGGGTAGCGTACGAATTGGGTTGTGGACTGAATGAGTTGGCCGAACATTCTACACTATAAAACTACTTTGATTGTCTAAATAGTATTCGTCCAAATCATCAATACCACTCTACAATTACCTTCTCACATTGAAAACCAAGTCCAAAAGTTAGATAAGGCTTTTACCGTTCAGCATTCACAGGGGCAATATAAAGAAACAGCTATCAGGCTTTTGATAAACATTTCGGATCAAAATGGTTACTAAGAAAGAGATGGAAAAATGGAACAGTCGGACTGAAGAACTTGATAGACAAAGTCGAAAAACTGGAGATAAGTCGAAATCTGGTTCTGCATCTGCTCATCCTGCGACAACACCCAGGACGCCACCACGATCGTATTTAGCATCCGAACTTGGAGGAGCAGCTTCAACGGCAAAACCGGCACTGTCTAATACACGACGAGCGGAGGGGGATGAAGAAGCAGGTAGAGGGACAAGTGTCTGGGCAAACAATAATGAACGTAAAGGAGGAGACGATGGAAAATCTGAAAGACGGTCACATCGTAGAGATGAAGGACCAGCTAGCTCGAGTCATAGGAGCAGAGGAGATAACGGAGGAGCTGAGCAACCACACCGTAGAGATAAAGAATCGGCCAAATCGAATCATGGGAGCAAACGAGGTGATAGAGAATCTGAGAGACAACCACCTCGTGCAGAATCACCAATATCGAGTCATAATGATAGGGAACATGATAGAAGATCTGAAAGGAATTATGGGAGCAAACGAGGTGAAGGATCAATGAAATCAAGTCATAGTAAACGACATGATGGAGAATCTGAGAGGCAATCACCTCGTGCAGAATCACCAATACCGAGTCATGATGACAGGGAATATGATAGAAGATCTGAAAGGAATCATGGGAGCAAACGAGGTGAAGGATCAATGAAATCAAGTCACAGTAAACGACATGATGGAGAATCTCAGGAGCAATCACTTCGTGCAGCATCACCAATACCGAGTCGTAAGAGCATGGGAGATAGGGGAAGCACTCGAGAGCAACCACAACATGGAGGTGAAGATGGAAATGATGAAAGTAGTGATGGAGGTGATGGTGGAAGGCCTCACGAATCAGGATCGAGACATGCTGATGAACCTCGAGAATCAAATTCCTATGCAGGTTCAAGAGGGGGTGGCGAGGGATGTCCAGGCTCGACGCGGACTAAAGAGGAAGAACGCCGAGTATGGACAAGGAAAAGGGAAAAGCCTTCAAAATCGGATAAGGCTTCTAAAGTTGTTCTTGGATATACAAGACCGAGGGTCAGATCGTCAACCTCGAAGAGTGATGCAAAAGATGATGATAGGAGTAAAAAGGGAAGTTCAAGAGGTGATAATGAAAGTCATAAGGGAAGTGGTGGAGGTAGTCAAAGAGGTGATGGGGGAAGTCGGAAGGGAGATGATGGTGGAAGTCGGAAGAGAGGTGATGGTGGAAGTCGGGAGGGAGATGGCAATGGAAGTCGAAAGGGAGACGATGATGGAAGTCGGAAGGCAGGTGAAGAAAGTGGTGAAATGGATGGTGGAAGAGATGGCGGAACCTCTTCACAATCAGCAAAATCAGGGAAACGTAGTATAAAACCTCCAGAGTCAACACGTGGTGGTGGAAGTATCAAGGGCGCAGCGGGTGACGGAAAAAGTCAAAAGAAAGATAGAAAAGGCGACGACGAACAGACGGTAGTCTCAGATAGACAAAGTAGTGAGAGGGGACATGGTAGAAAAGTTACCTTTTCGAATGCAGATGAAAAGCAAACCCAAGAACTTGAAGACATTTCGGAAGGCTCCAGCGATGGTGAGAGACCGCATTACCCAGAAGATGTTAGAAGAAAATCTGGGACGAAGGAAGAAAAAATCATGCCCGGGATGAAAGAATTTGCGGAGATTTTCAAAGACTCTAAAAAAAAGCAGACGATTCCCAAAAGCAATGCAAAAGAAGACAAATGGTACGTACAGCCAGATGGGGAAGTGCGAAGGCCAAGTAAGGTTATTCGGGACGCTAGATTTAGGATGAACCCTGAGACGCGAGAAGCACGCATTAAGAGAGGTGAAGATTGCGGCTACTAAGCTAAATGACCAACTCCTCTTGCGACTTGTGACAGCTGGAAGATTGGACCTGTTGAAGGAAGTTTCTGGGGATTTTTTGCTGGCCGTTTCGCTTGGGTTTATTTGACTTTATTTGATTTGATTTGGAGCTGCATATCTTGTTGGCGTTTGTGGGACTTTGCTTAGATTTGCTGGTCTTTTTGTCGTGGGGGTTTGGGTATTTTATTAGATTGATATGAATAAATTGAAGGTGTTTGAGATATTTTGCCTTTTTTGATTGATTGATTGATTGATTGATTGATTGACTTGATTGACTTGATTGACTTGATGAAAATTCACAATGTGTGTGCCTTTGTGTTTGTATTTGCATATGCCACATCCGTATTTGTTTTCCGTTGCGTGCAGTTTAAGATACTACAGATGCAAGCCCATCAATCTATGGAGAGCTAGTCTTCGGAGACAAACGCATGCTGAATTACAGTATGGGGTTGATTGAGATATCATCAGCTTGTGTATAACTACACCTGTATACTTATACACTCGACATATCTCGCACAATCTCTAAAACGCTATTAACGTTTTGCGTAGTGATACGCTTAGTTCTAACTCTAGACTTGCACCCAAGAACTGGATAAGTACGAGAAAGCTAGCTGGAATTAGTTGAAGTTGTAGAAATATTTAACAAGAGATGGATGGTTGGATATCAAAGTACCGGTTGAATCTCTGGAGAGCCTACTCCATTGTGGATGGATGTATAAGCTAGAAGAGTTTCTGGTCTTAACATCATGGTTATGTATGTTGCATTCGGAGTCCTGCGATAAAATCATTTTTTAAATTCACATGAAGTTTGATTGACATTACCAGTTCTTCTAATCTATCTATCCCTTTCACTATTTTTCACTCAATTTCAAACGAACCTCCTTCTGAATTTTGAATTCAAATTGCTGCAACACAAACCCCTCGAGCCTGCAATTCTGCGTTCATACTATAAATTATCCACATCCCACTTCCAACATCCATCGACGTCGAGTGACCTTTTGATCAAAAAACCTCCTCGACCTTGAAACCGACCCCTCTCTTCATTTCCATTAATAGAATTCTACCCGAAAGTCTAAATCAATCCTTTGAGACCCAGACTTCAATTCGGCCTGACATCAGGCCTCACCCATACGGCCATTTTCAAGCAAGATAGTCCGAATGCTATTAATAAATCTTCGACCCGGTCAACGTAGGACCTTGGATCCCATCCACCACAGTCAATTTCATCGATACATTCTAGAAAAATCATCAGAGAGCAATGTTGGTCATGGGCTCCAGAAATTAGTCCTAGAAGGAGAGAACTATATATACCTTTGATATCCTGACCATCTGTATATGATATTCAGCACATAGTATCAACTCTATTCTACAGATCATCCACTTAACGTGATTTAAATATACATTTACCACATCTCCATTTTTAACTTTCGGAATAAGGATTCCAACTGAGCAATAAAAGAACAGCATCAGCGAGTTAGTCTCGATAGAAGATATTTATCGTCACTGTAAATTAAAGACAGTAGAAGAGATCCCTCTCAACCCAACTTAAAAAGGCTGAAAAGCAACGGCAGAACCGCACAGTAACTCTCAGTATGACTAGCAGAAGTAGTCAGTCTGAATATGAATCATCGGTTCAATCAAGCGATATTTCGGATCGTACGTTGTCTTCGAAAAAATCGCATAAATATGAAACCATTGCTTCCTCTGATAGAGGGTCTAAACAAGCGTCTAGGCAATATGAGAGAAGTGGTGATGGGGAAAAAGTGAGAGAGAGGGAAGGGGGGAGAGAGAGAAGTAGAAGAAAGGAAAAAGAGAGAGAAGAGGAAGAGAGGAGTAGAAGAAAGGAAAGAGAGAGAGAAGAGGAAAAGAGGAGTAGAAGAAAGGAAAAAGAGAGAAAAGAAGATAGTCGGAGAAGAGACAAATCTAATGACAGATACACGTCCAGCATTGCAGGGAAATCGGTTGATTCATTGGATACGTTGGGTCCGTCTGATAGTATTAGTAATGTCGGTCGCACACCGTCATCAAGCGTAGCTCCCAATTCGACTTCAACTTCAACGCCTCTTCCCACTCGTTCTCATGTACACACTGGATGTGAAGTAGCGGATCCCAGAAAGGGTGGTCGAAGAGCAAATGAGAGCGATGTCGAATTCAAACGTGGCACTAGAACCTCGCGTTCTGGGCGATCGGAGGCACCAACATCATCAAGCGACGATTCCGATTCAACTGTGACGCCACTCCCCCCTCGTTCTCGTGTATCCACTATCTCCAAATCGACGGATCGCAAGAGTGATAGCGGAAAAGGAAAGAAGCGCGAGGTCGAATTTAATCACAGTGCCAGAAAACAAGACTCTGGGAATTCAGTGGCTCCGTCTATTATCAGTAATGCCAGTTCCCGCGCACCATCATCGAGCGTAGCTCCCGATCCAAAACTAGCGCCAAGTTCGAATGGTTCTGAAGTATCCATTGGGCCAATGGAAACTGTATTAGCGGATCGCAGAGCGAATAGCGATATCAGATCCGATTACAATGCTGGCACACGAGTATTCTCTAATCATGGTTCTAACGTTTCTGGAGCTACCGCGAAGCAAAGGTTTATGATTCCTGTACAATTACCTCAAAGCGGAACTAGTAAAGACTCAGATCCGAGTGAATCTACATCTCATGGAGCACCAGTTAATTTGATACCCAGAAATATCACTTATAGTCAGCCTCTTGTACTACAGCCACACCCGCACTTCAAAAGCGCTTCGTCTTCAAAGCCACCTGCACGACGGGGATAGTGACCCGGCCAGTCACGAGTGTAATATAAGTTAGTACCAACCAAGCTGATATTGAAGTTTTCTGTACTATATCAGTACATATTTGCGATTGGATCATCCGTTGCAATATGTAGAAGCTATTTTGCACAAGACTAGCAACATACCAAAATACTGATGAAGATTGCCACTATGAACTCCTACGAGTTTTGATTGTATTCCCTTGAGAACCTAGAGAGATTCAATGAATTCAGATGAAAGGGTTTCACTGGAAACTGCTTCAGTATTGTCCGTTTGAGAGATAATTTATTGCATTTCATGATTCTCCTTTCTTCCAGTGATTTATAATACCATTGAAACTTCTGATGATATAATATTTGATGAAAATATTGAAACACATAGTAGAAATTAAAACATGCTTCACTATAGTGGGGTTTATATAGAAAACGACGTATATTACTCTAAGTGCTAGGCTTAACAGGATTATGAAAAGGCTCAACTCGAGGTTCGAAATGGAAGAGTATGGGTCGAGAGTTTCCCACAAGTAAACAACCTCTATCGGCGATAGACATGATAATTTATCATGCGCACCTTGACGTACAATCGTTTGATAACTATTACATAGAATTACACTGTTATATTCTAGAAGTCACTTAACTTCTTACGTACCAATCGCTACACCAACGATAACGACATTTTATTCCACACCAAACTCATCTTAAATGTTCGCACTTATATAACTCATATCATCCAAAGTCAATATGAGCTTGTTAGTGTTCAAACGAGGTATTTCTGAGGCCTCAGGGCTCTATAATTCTCTATCTAACGTCGAGAGAGTGGTGCTTCCTTACATAGCGTTCGTGCTGCCTTTGAATCATTTGATGCTTAGATAGAAATAAACATTACGTGAAGCCATGACCAGAACTTTGGCAGCTGATTACCCAATTTCTCTGAACGTTTATGTGTATGAGGTTGCGCTCCTAAATGTATCATGGTAGAAGCTAAGTTAGAGAATATTCGAAAAACCGCCGTGTTCAAACGTAATTGAATTAAAGTCTATAAATAAGGATGCAAGCTCGCGATATAAATTCAAAGAGCAAAAGATGCAAGAAAGATTCATTATCTGGCCATTGTCTCAAGCAAATCAATGAGACTTGTCAATTGATCTAAGATTTAGCAGCTAGAAGCCATTTTCAATACTAAGATAAGGTTCATCAATGACAAGGCCTGTATGGCGGTTCACAAGAAACAGTCTTAAAGCTCAGACTTCTGAATTTATGCCTGTAGCTCTGGATTATTTTCGAGAGAATATTCACCCATCTGCAGTCTTTGCTGACCGAGTGACAATCACTCAGAGATAGAAAGGTCGAAGATCAATAATACATTGTAGTGACGGTCAAGTATGATCAACTTCCATGTCATCTTCATCGATTCGTATTCATGTTCATGTTCATGAGTCTAACCTTTAGTCAAACTTTGAATACGGTCTTGTAGATGCAATGTTTTCCCGTCCTCGATATCATTGAGAAGGTAAAGAAACGGCCTTCACCGTAATTCGCGCAAATAGTATGGAGCTTTCCATTACCGGGTCAATGATTGGAAACAATCGATAAAGTCCTCGGTAGATATGTCTTGGGTTCTAGACCACTTAAAATTGTGCGCAGAACCATAACTCGAACAAGAAACATGACGGTAGCTATGGTACAAACGCAAATTGATAATCCCTGAGGTACGAAAAACTCAAATCTGATTCAACTGTAATAAGTAACCTCCCGAAATATCGTTCTAGATGTGGAAGATTCCGGTAACATCTATTCATCAATTCTGGGAAGGAGTAAAACAGCGTTACACGCACGCTATTCGAGTGGAATCTTCAAGTTCAATAGAAGAGGTACCTTCCCAAATGGAAGTAGATTTCGTATCTTGTAGAAAAATTATGATAAGCTAGACCCAGACTGCTTTCCGGTGCAGTGGTGTTTGTGCCTAAGTGGGTGATCTCCAATGTCCAAACTTCCGGATTTCATTGTGGTAACAAGAAGTCCACAACTCCAGACTGATATACCAATTGAGCAAGTACGAATCAGGGAGAGTAATCATGAATCTTCAACAATACTTACCGTTTGTAGATTTGTTCAAACACAAGATCACGTTCAAATAATCACGTGACTCTTACGAAAAAATTGTCTAGTTTCGTCTTACAGTATCTCGACTTATCTATAAGGTAACCCTATTCTATTCGCTTAAAGTTACTTGAAATGAAGGGGAAAGTTGGATGACATCTATGCACGCATACGCTGGTGCAAATGTCATCGTACAATCAACTCTTGTATCTAGAACCTAAATGGCGCGAGTGCCACGTTACGATATCCAAATGTGTGGTAATATTGATATGGTGCAGTTGTTCAATTTTTGATGCTTGTGATCAAATTTCAATGCAGTTTCGAAAGAATTGATTGAAGTTCGAACATTAAGCCAAGAAAGAAGAAACATTGCTGGAATTACGAAGTTGGCTCTCTCGGGTCCTAAGACACCACTAGAATATCCCCAGACTCTCAAAGTCTCCACCACCCCCGCCGAGATGCTTGACCGAAAGCTTTTACTGCGAGCCCCTCTACCCCAGATTTATGCCCAGAATTTACCAAGACGCCAGAGAAGAAAATGAAAATGAACGCAAAAATATATCAAACAATATCCAAGAGGATCGACCTCTCCCCATCTTATTTTTAGTCACAAACTGACATGACATTTTGACACACTTTTGACACTCGGAAATTAAGAAGCTATCAAACTTTGGCAGGCGCTGTATTCCAACCTCCTCCTAAGACCTATTTAATTTGGCAAAAATATCTCGAGGACTTCTTGGTTCTTCAAGCAGTAAAACCCCTCCTAAACCACTGCCAAAGCCTTCCGTCTTGGTGATAAAAGCTTGAAACGATTCCAAGATACCAAGGTGAATCGAATCATGAAGTACCGAAACTATTCAGCTCTCTCTCGCGCACACCGCAGCGCCAATGCTGACGGGGTGTTGAGTACGGACGCCATCAGTAGCAAGGGTGTCACCGGATTCAAAATATCACCCAGTACAATACGACAGCGAGGTCGAAGGACCTTTGGTAAAGAAATATGCACTCCGCCATTCCATTAGACAGTCGGCATCCCAATCTTATGTACTGAAGAAGAGTTTGGAATCTGCAACCTATTTGTAATTCCGAGGGTTATTATTTTGTTTAGACTCCGTGTTAGGTGTTCTCGGTAGACTTGCCTTGTCTACGGTACCAACCTAGTAATAAGTACACAACAAGCGCGGATGTATCGTTCCATTCGGGATCGGACATTAAGGCTTGAGGTAGCTCTTGGAAAATTTGCGGCCTATACTTTTTAGTCTCCTACGGAGCAAAGTAAGCTCCAGGCCAGAACAGTTGGATCCCCACACTTTGCACAGATAACATGTCACTGTGATCAGCAAAGAAAACGATACCATTTTATAGAATTGGTCATGATGAGAGATAAAGTCTAGACATATTTCTATTAGTCAGTACCTTTACCATGTGGTAAAACAGAGTGGGCGACTTGGTCTGTCTCTACATTGTCGTCGTTTCGACCATGCTCGCCATGCAATGCTATGATACCACTCACCATGGGAGCCCATGCCATATGTCAACAAAAAAAACCCCTAGTCAGAAGAAAAGAAGATATTGACACCCAACTAGCAGATGGCAAGCTTGCATTCAGCCGAGGGAATAGCAACCAAACCAGGATCAAACAAGCTTATTCACTGGATTACCTTCCACTTTTCCCCATTCTCCATGCGGGGAGCGCCAGGATTCACTGTTGATGATGGCTGCACTAAAAAGAAATCAAACATTTTTCCAACGCTAAGATCATCAGCTGATGAACCATAGTCCTAGAGGAGATGATGGAAGCATGCAGGTATCCATGGTTAGCAGATGGAAGATCGTAAAAAAATGTTGGTGTCTAACTATCGCTAGATCGTTTCCTTGTGTTACTTAGGCAGTATCGAATGAGAGACAGATAAGTAGGTAGCTCTCCGCCTCGCATTTCTGAAATACTCTCACCATATCATCCTCATCCTTCATTTATTTCAAGTCGAGTTCCGTGTTGGACACGCGCTACCACTCCTCTATCGGAGTGAATACAGAATATTGTAACTCTACCTTCCAATTGGTAACGACATCAATCTCTTACTTGCTTGAATACCTTATCATAAGACTCGAATTAAGAAAATAAGGGAATTGATAGGTACCAACATACATTCAATCCTGCTTAATGTAGCAGAGTTCTTTACATCAAAAGCTAATAACCCTTTCGCAGATATCAAAGCTCAACATGGCAGACCAATACGGTGCTGCAGGCTATGATGCCCATACGCACGAATCTGAATCTTCCCAGAAGATGTCCATTGGGGAGTATTGTAGGACCCGAGTTTCCACACTCAAGCCTCCTATGCACAAAGCTCCCAACCCATTCAAACTTCTGGCTATGTTGAATGGAAAACAATGGCTATTCTTCCTTGTGGCGTTTGTTGCTTGGGTATGTTCTGAACCGTTGACTGCATTAGCTTTCTCCCGCTAACTATTTTGCCTAGACTTGGGATGCGTTCGATTTCTTCACAGTCAGTCTTACTGTTTCGGACCTCGCAGAGGAGTTTGATAAGACTACTACGGATATCACATGGGGTATTACATTGGTTCTCATGCTGAGATCTGTTGGTTCTATTATTTTCGGACTCGCAGCAGACAGATATGGTAGAAAATGGCCCTTCATTGTCAACAACATTCTCTTCATCATCCTCGAACTCGGTACCGGTTTCTGTCAAACCTACAAGCAATTTCTTGCGTGCAGAGCTCTGTTCGGTATTGCAATGGGTGGATTGTATGGAAATGCTGCCGCTACAGCGCTTGAAGATTGTCCCGAAGAAGCTCGTGGTTTGATGTCTGGTATACTTCAACAAGGATACGCTTTTGGATATCTTCTCGCAACAGCTTTTGCTAGAGGATTAGTAAATACCACTAGTCATGGATGGAGACCTTTGTTCTGGTTCGGTGCAGGCCCACCTGTTCTCATCATCATCTTCCGTCTCTGTCTTCCAGAAACAGATGCGTACAAGGAGCGTGTTCTTGTTCGAAACGAGCGAGGTAATATCGGAGCTACCTTTATTGCTGAAGGAAAGGTAGCATTGAGGGAACATTGGCTCTTATTGATTTACTTGGTACTTCTCATGGCTGGTTTTAACTTCATGGTAAGCTCCTCTCTCACCACTGATCGAAAGATATCTCATCGTCTTCATACTAACCCAAATTCCAGTCTCATGGTTCCCAAGATCTCTACCCAACCATGCTTAAAAATCAGTACAACTTCTCCGCAAACGCTGTTACCGTCATCCAAGTCGTCGCCAATCTTGGTGCCATGACCGGTGGTACTTTGGTCGGTTACTCTTCCCAAATCTTCGGTCGTCGCTTCTCCATAATTGTTATATCCATCCTCGGCGGTGCTCTCCTCTACCCCTACACATACACCTCTTCCAGCGCCGTCATCGCCGCCGCCTTCTTCGAACAATTCTGTGTCCAAGGAGCCTGGGGTGTTATCCCCATCCATCTTATGGAACTTTCTCCTGGCTCTTTCCGAACATTCGTCGTCGGTACCGCATACCAACTCGGAAATCTCGTTTCCTCGGCTAGTTCGACTATCGAGGCTCAATTGGGGGAAAAATTCCCTCTTCCACCTAAGGGCAAAACAGCTCGTTTTGAATACGGAAAGGTCATTTGTATTTTCATGGGTTGTGTATACGTCTATGTGATCATTTTGACATTCGTGGGACCAGAGTATCTAAGAAGAAGCTTTGATGTTCAACATGATAGTGATTTGGCAGCGGCAGCAGGCCATGACACAATTGAGAAAAGTATGAAGAAAATGAGAGGAAATAGGGGTGTGAAGAATGAATCGACTGAGGATGTGGATGCAGGGTTAGAGAAGGGAACTGCGAGGAATATTGATTGAAAATATATTTGGACGGAAATGATGAGTGGATTGGAAGGTACAAAGGGAATGAATTGCTTTGGATACGGTTTTGGGATAATTGGAAGAGTATACGTTAACAAGTAGCTCCCTACGGGATGAATGAATTATGACATGACAAACTATATCTTGCTGCTTGTAGCGTGCTCATTGTCATCTTCTCTGCGCATCGTGGCTTGTAGTGCATTTAAACATATTCTTCGATAACCCATTGCGTATATAATTTGAGTGAAGACTATCGCGGTGAATTGCCGGGTAGGGTTTAAAAAGCTCACTGGGAGGAGCCTGGCTCGAAAAGCGTTATAATATAGAATTATATAATCTCTTATATGATCCGCCCAACTTTACCTGGTAATCCTTATCGAGTAACTCGACAGGATGTGAGGAAGAAACTTTTACCTCAATGGTTCTGTGTGGAAAAAATTAGTCTCTTTGTTGAATCATCATATTCTTCAGTGGTCTTGGTGAAAAGAGTGATTTGTATTAATGGTCAAAATTGGCCTTTTAAACACAAGAACAAAACGTGTGATGTCCATAGCTGAGAGTGATGATATGTGTGTTATTCATTGCGTAAATGTTGCATTTATAGTTAGATCTTGAGATCTCTATAACCCTCCCAAACGGACATTATGGTATATTGTGCCCTATATGTTTCACCCGCACTTTATCATATTTTCCTGTGCCTTGGGGTATTCCAGACGGAAAGCACTTACAAGAGGTCCTTAACCTAGTGAATACAAGGTTGGAGAATGTCGAGGCTCCACTGAGGAACCTTGAACTGCTGAATCGTGTAGTCTCCAAATCGCTCCAGGATTCGTTACTCGTTCAATATTCATCACTATCCATCATTGCTCATTTTATTTCCTATCCAAAATCCATCATTTATCTCTCATCGCCCTTCAATTTACCGGGTATTTCTTCTAAATCTTCCACACTCTCAATTTCCAACACTTTCGAAACTTCCGCAGTATTCCTCATCAACTCCTTGGCCCCAGCATATAACATTCGCTGTTCGGCATTGACTGTAGGGGGGAGGTAGAATATTAGGACATATGGGACGGAGAGACGGCCAGAGGGCTAGAGCAAGTTAGCTTTTGACGGGTAAAAAATAAGCAAAGGGACAATATACCAGTGTGCAAGGATAGCTTAGGAGGATAAAACGAGGTGAATGATCTGGCAGGTCATCGCCTATAGATTCGATATCTTTATATACAACTCCATCTTCATCTTGTTTTATTTCGAGATTGCTTTTATCAATGAAGTCTAAGGGATAAGGGGGAATTAGCAGATATTCCGTTTCACGTAACAATCCAGCAGTTTGATGATATTGTATATCCCATACTCATTTAGATAGTATGAAAGTTGTTTCTCAGCAATAACCCGAGGGTTATATGAAGGTGGTGGTGCAACTGGTGTGTAATCATTGTGGGCTTTGGATGGAGGAACACTCAGACATCTTAAAAAGAGAGGGAGACAAACAAATAACAGCTTGAGGATCGCTTGCACGCGAAGTCCCAAGTCTAAATTTACGTAAATGTGCCTTCGTTTCGGTGCTGAACGTATAGAGGCGCGATTCAGAAGACTAAATTGATCAAATGGTTAATTGCGCGTTCTCAGGAGGAGGAGGAAGGTTATATTACCATAATGAAGATATCGATATATCAATGAGTGCGTATGTGGTAGCAGTGCAAATGAGGAGGTTACTGTCGAGATTCAAGTAAGAGCTAGGTGTTTCCTTGTATGTCGAGATACCTATGAACTTGTAAAGGTTTTGAATATCAGACGGTCAGACCAGGAAACTACGAGAATGAGAATGAGAGTGACGAGAAGTGGGCTGTTTAGCTTCATTTCGGATAAAACTCGGATATGTAAGCAAACGAACAACACCAAAAAACCAACACAATTTAAAGATATGCAACAAAATGTCAAAGAATGATTGGACCAAGCAATCACATATCCGGTGAAAGGGGTTTCAACATTGAGATATTGGCTGAGAAACGCAAATTGCTACCCGTTTCCATCACTGAGCAGTCAGGCTATCTTTCAGGTCCAGTATTACGGATCGGCCTTTATGGTTATGGCTGGAACGTCAATGTATTTGTATGATACCGTACGCAGTTAGTTCTGTGCAGTCATCAAATTCAGAGGTAGCCTCTCCAACTTTCAGAATTTTGGTCATTCTCTTGTTAAGTTTTCTGCGCCCGAACCTCATAGGACCCGAATTCTAATAGTGGTCGGTGGTAGAATCTCACATCATGATCGTTATGGTTGTAATTAGGGCTAGAGACTCTAGCATAATGAGCAAATCGGCAGTCCAAATTCGATTGGATCTAAAAACTAACGTCGTTACGGGGTACGCATCACAACATGTCTTACAACAGACATCGCACATCAACTTGGGGCCATCATCGGACTCTTCTCATGGCTTCGAGAATTAGCAATAATCAGATCAGAAGTCAATTGTGTAGGTTTCAAACTGACATTCGAACGTACTACGGATAGAGGCTGAGATGGCGGGTGGTACAAGTCATTGGAATATTGTATGAAAGGGAAGCCATGGAGCCAGGTAGTAGTTGGCAAATAGATCATAGAGAGAGTATGATGTGAGGGTTGATCATGTGGTATACTTGGCCGTTGAGAACGGGGTATATGATTCTGGAATGGCCGGGTGCAGGGTCTGTTGAAGTAGGAGGGAATTGCGGCTGAAGGGGCCATCGAGTATGTTGGAGGACTTTTCGAACAGGAAATATGGAAAATGAGGATTTTAGTATCCTTTCAGCTGTTTCTATGATAGAAAATATGTGTGATTCCTAATTCTCTCCCAGAATATCACGTTTACCTTAGGGTTTAAAGAAGAATTCTTGGACCGAGTACCTATACATGTACCCACAGATTCTTGAATACTGACAATCGGATAATTTGAAATGTGGAGTACGATCCGAGGTCTCTTCTCCTACAGCAGATATAGTCGTCCTCGACCATATACCACACTGAAATGAATCTAAAACATCGCGCTTCTTTCACCTGAAAAGACAAGCTCAAGTTTATGTTCCCTCCGGGGTTTCGCGTGGTCGGGACAATTTCAGCTCACGCAGCTAACTCCGTACCGAGTCGGGGGAATGTTACGCACAGCCACGGCAATTCCACCACTCAGTCTTCCCTCTCTGATCCACTCTTAGGGGTTTTCGAGTAAGGTCCCCCTTTGACGTAAAGAATTCGCTTCCTCTGCGCGCGTAATGTACGTTTTGTTTACGTGCGTAACAATGTGCCTCACGACGACGTCCTCGAATTTGACCTGATCAGCGATATAGCTAATTATAAATCTGTACACGATATCAGATTGATTAAGTATAAATACAGGTATGTCCCTTTGATTCAATTTCGATATCATCACTTCATTTCACAAATCAACTACAAAAATTACAAGCTTGTTTCTTCACATCACCTAGTCTTCATTTCACAAACCCCAAATTAAGATTCTTATATCAAACATGTCTACCACTACAACCCAAGTTAACCCCTCGATCGCCCTTTTGGGTGCGACGGGCGGAACTGGGCTTGCAATACTCAATGAAATCCTCTCTTCCTCATCTACCACTCATCTCAATGTTTTGTGTCGTACCCCGTCAAGACTCTCTCAATTCTCCAATAAAATCATCTACCCCAATCTTCACATCATTCAAGGCGACATTCGCGATGCCGCCGCTTTGAAATCCGCACTTATCGACCCAGCCACCAATTTCCCCGTCGATATCGTCGTCTCTTCTCTAGGCATGACTCTCATCCGTTCCTCCACTTTCTCAATGAAATGGTCTGATCCAACTCTCTGTCAGGATGGTGTCAAAAGTATCTTGAGCACATTGGATGCTCTAGAAGTAGAATATGGACCAAAGAATGTGAAGACAAAAGTGATAGTGGTGAGCACGACAGGAATTAGTAGGAAAGGAAGAGATATCCCTTGTAAGATGAGACCGCTGTACAGCCTTGGGAAAACTCCATTTGAGGATAAGATACGAATGGAGGAGGAAATTGTGAGGTGGGCGGGAGAAGGAGAAGGAAAGAGGTGGATGGTGGTTAGGCCAAGCTTGTTAATCAATGGAGAAGCGAAGAGAACAGTGGTTAAGATTGGATGGGAGTTCCCTGGGGCTGGGTATAGAAAGAGTGAAGATGAGCGAGAGACCGATGTGGTAGAGAAGATGGAGGAGGGGGAGGATAAGTTGGAGATTGGGTATCAGATAACTCGAGGTGGAGTTGGAAAGTGGATTTATGAAGAAGGCATTAGAAACGGAGGGAGAACCGAATGGGAAGGAAGGTTTATGAGTTTGACATATTGATTTCCTTTGGTTTCTTTGTTGCAGGCGTTGTTTGTTAGCTTCTTCTTTACCCTAAATACCCGGTCCCTCGGCAAGATTCGATGTTAAAGCTATGTAGTTTAGGATGCTCTCTTTTAAACAGTTATTACCATATTTCAAAGCCATGGTTTGCACTTCAGCTCTAGTTCCTCGTGATTTAAAAGATCCAAAGAGATGTGTGAATCGTCTATATATATGAGCCACTCAACTTCCATTTCTGGCAGTACCCATGTACACGAATTTTGACACTCGGTCACGAATCGATCATGGATCTTTCTTCACGTGCAAATCTAAGAGCAATCTTCTTATATTTCTGAAAATCTACGGATCAAGCATTACTGACTAGCCATCAAGTACCTGGCTGGAGTTGTAGAATTAGCATGCCCCGAAGATGTTATTTCACTTTCGTTGTTCAAACCGCTTTAATCATATCCGAGTAACTACTTGTCTCCAAGGTACAAAATATCAACTTAAATCCGAAGTAACAATCCAAAACGTGAATGACAACTCCTTCCTCATCCACGCAAGCCTCGAAGCCGATTACCATCACCCACCCCAACCATCTCATAACAACCTACAGCCACTTGACCACTTAGCCACACACCATCACTCCATTTCACATCATCTCCTCTCTCTCAATCTGCCACTCCTCAATCAAAAAAGCAATCCCTACAGCCAAAACCGAAACAGCAATCCCAAAAACAACACTGTTGATCATCACCAGCCCGAAACCAGCCATACCAGCACTTTACAATACCGCAAATACACTACCAGCAGCGATGTTTCCGAGGATCGCTTGAGTAAGCGAGGCTATAGATCCTATTATAGTGCTGCGTTAGTCGACTATCTCAGCGGAGAACAGCTTACAATAGATAGCTAAGTGGGGATGAATAATGAAAGTATAAGAAGGTTTAAAAATTACTTACCAGACACAGGACCTAAGATCCTAAAACCTAAAAGCTCAAGTAATGGTGCGGTAACGATGCCCGGCCAGATAATCACGATAATGCTCAGAAGTCCAAGGGCTATTGAAAATGGGTGCTCGCAGATGAATTGAATATAGCGTGATGTTAATGGACGAACATGAATACGGTATAAACGATTGATTGTGGAAATGATGCCCTCGAGTGTTGGTTTGACTTCACGATGGAACCGTTTTTGGAGGGTGAAAAGGGTGGAAGTTAAGGAGGTGGAAATTCTTTTGCAGCCACTTCTAATGGTTGAGAAGAAATTTGTCATTGTGAATGCAAGTTGATTGAGAGCGGACGAGGTATCATATACGTTGTGCTTAAATAACTCGAGTCGAGGACTTGAGATCAGTTCTTTACAGATATATATATAGGGTTTCTGAAATGTGAGACAATACTATGGCTTTTTGGATGGTTCAGACTGTTTCCTGATGTTATAATTTATCACAGATATTGCCGATCCATACCCTTCTCTCGAATTCTTCGACCGTGTAGTTATGCATGCTTCCACTACCAGCGTCTGAGCAAGTCTTACAATGTACTCACCCGCAAAAAGCAAATATTTGCAGCTTTCAAGGACCCTATTCTGTGATTACTTCTGTTTGTCACTGGAAACTACTTTCGGAGAAATATGTGTTTGCACCGAGGATTAACTCATCGTAGGTTGCTTACCTCTTCTAGAATATACGCACACGCTCCACGACAAAGAAAATCTTGTTACTCCTGATCGAGTTGGAAACGGCATTTCCTCTATGTTGAAGTATCATCCACAATGCACAATTCCTTTCCGAGCTCCCGTGCCGGAAACCTGCATCACAACCCAGGGTCGCGCGTTTGAAAATTGCAGTTTGGAGATCACATTAATTTCACTCCTCTCTGTTCTTTGTCCAAGCCCTCGCAGGATTTAGTGGATATCTATCATAGTGTTTCCTTATTCTGAAGCGAGCGCAGAGAGATCACTTGGACAAACGGTCAGATAGGCTGTCGGGGCATTTATCATCGTCATTGAACTCGCTACCTGGTATTTCACTATTTCCAGCCCGTTCATCCTGAGATAAAAATATCAAAGAATACATGGCCTGTAACCTCAGAGCGCTTACTAGGAGGCAAAGGATTAATAACAAACGCAAAATAAGTCGACGTCCCCGATGAAGAACTGCTGGAATTGGTAAAAGGAATGACAGGGGATTCGTCACTCAACATTTCTAACGGCTCTAGAGACTCGGCCATGGGCCTATGAATTGCTATTGGAGGAAACAGAGTCGTACTATTAGGTAGATAGACTGTCGGAAGAATCGACATTGGGAAATTTACATTGCTTGTTGCAAACATGTGATTGTGTAATGTTGCAGAAGAATCGCAATACGCACGTGGCGCTACTGCAATCAAAATGGTAACCGCGTGTGGGGTGAGTACTGAAAGGAGAATTGGATATATCATGCCTACGGTTGCTGACCAGGTTTCTGAAATCACAACCCGAATGGGGAATTAACGCAGATCAATGAGCGGATCGAAAAGTGACAGAATTTCCATGCGTTAAAGTCGCCTCTGAGGACGAAAGGTACTGTGATCAACGCCAAAGCCATGCATACATCCATGAAACTTGAAGGATGATGTGGCGAATGTTGGTGGCACTGAGGCCTTCTGTGAGAGGATGAAGAGGCCCAGTTCGGTCAGGGACAACGGTTGGCCAAGGATAACAGTTACACAAATTACCAAGTACCTTGGCCAAGAAGTCTCTTGTTGCATATCGCAGAGTTGATGGTTCCGCGGGGTAATGACTGCACAAATATCATGATATGTCCGTTCAACTTTCCTGATAATGACCAAGCATTAGTCTAGAGCTGAAAATTATCAGCTAATTAGTGTGGAATTCTGGGGAAAATGTGACGATTGGATATCAATCGTGGCACCATAGAATGCAATTATTCTTATAAAATCATAAGTTCTTTAATCTTGGAAGCTTGCATCTGGTTTGCTAGTGTGAGTAGTGAATACCTTGATCGCATTTCTTCGGTTTTCACTATCGCGCACCACCAGTACGGTCTAAAGATTGATACGGACCCAAAGCACACTACTTCTTCAATTATTCGTAATTATTTTATCCTAAATTTAAAGAACAGCAATTGAAGAAAAAACAAGATTCCCATTGATTTAGTATATCATATCGAGTACAAATATATTGAGCCATAAAATCCTTCCCCAAATACTGTAGCAGAAATAAGTCGCTAAAAACTATCAATTAAACATAAGTAAATCACCGTTGGAACCCTGTCCTACTGCAGGTTGATAAACTTGCTCGGGTGCGTTCTGATTAACCACATATTGCATCTCGCCTCTGCCGACGGTAGGACTACCACCAAATCCTTCATCCTGTCCATTTAAGTTCATGCTTGCCATTTGCTGGCCAACACCGGCAAAGAACGCATCTGCTGCATCGACTGCTGCAGCAAGATCGCCTTGTCCACCGGGTTTCATCATAGGTTGAGAGTTTCCGAATGCAGAAAGCGATTTCTGCGCGTCCAAATCCCCATTTGGAAGATGCTGCTTTTGTAAAGCGGGTGAGTCTGTAAGGCGACGTGGGCGAGCGGAACGGAATACTTGCTGGACAGGTTTAAGGTAAACAGTAGCGAGAGTTCCAACGTTAAGGCACATTTCCTCAAGAGTGGCAGGGTCAAGTTTCTCCGATTCAGCTGTGATCGGAGGCTTTTCACCCATAACAATAGCTTTGGCTGTAGCCATATCTGAAGATAGCAGACGCCAGTACATGTAACCTCTGTCCCGCAAGTCCGGGTTATCTGTGTCTTCTGTGGCCCATTTCAACACTTTAGGAACAAGTTCTTGTCCTTTTGTTGGCCTTTGAATGAACAGTTTAACGGTCGCCGTGAGAAGAGCAAGTTGAACTTCCACTGGCTCATCTGCGAATGAATAGAGAAAATCTTCAAGTAAGACATCAGAGTTTTCTATCCGAGAGGCATATTGTCCAATAACCCAAATCATAGCAGCCTTAGCCTCGGGTTCATCTAACGAATCCAAATTCTCGCACAATGTACCGATTATGGACTCGTACTGATTGGGGTACTTCCTAAAAATGTTTCGAATTACCACTGTTGCTTCTTGTACAATGTATGTGACCTTTGTGGCCACTAGCTCCAGCAATGTATTAATACACTGTCTAGCTGCAGGCTCGATTTTGATAGCAAGCTTTCCGATTGCTCGGACAGATTTACGGACGAAGTGAACATCAATTTCTGTGGCGTATTCTCTCAATTCGGTAAGCACCTCTTGGATGTTCTTCTCGTTCGCCAACATGAAGATCAACTCCAGCTTTGTAACTTTGACATAAATTGGGTCATTATATTTGCAGAAGAATACTCGAATATCGTTGCGTAGAACTTCCGGCCTTCTTTGTAATATCAACAATGCATTGCGTAATGCGAGGTATTGAACCTCTGGACCCTTCGCCAATAGAGTGACTAAAGGGGGCGAGAGCTTCCGGCATAATGCTGAAATTTGCTTTTGGTCATTAATGTAGTTCATGAGGTACAAAACTACTCTTATGCATGTAAGAACGACTGCAGAATTTGAATGTGATAAACGCGGAGATATGCGCTCCGCTAGCAATAAAGCCTCGGAGGACTCTTGTGGAACATACGACATTAAGGCTTCTAAGATATATGTTTGGCCCCACCTGGTAATGTTAGGTCGTTCGATGGAAAATTGGGGAGTAGAATGCTTACTCGGAACAGTCTGGGAGAATTTGAACCATCTTAGAGGCATTACCGTAGTCAATAGTTAACTTGATAGCATCACTCCTCTCCCAGATATCCATCAAGCTGGCCAATGCACTAGCCACAACCGTTGGGTTATCATCCCTCAGCATTGAATTTAATCTGTCGATTAGATCTGAGCCTTCAACCAAATGCCTATCGTGATCGTATAGTTTTGCGACACAGAAAGCTGCCGTCTTGCGAACATACGGGTCTGCGTCTCGAAGGAGTTGCTTTGTAGGTGGTACTGTAGCTTCGACAAAATCTCGAACATGAATGTATGACATCGTACGCAGTGCAAGAGCTCTGACAAGAGGATTAGAGTCATTCATATCCTAGTCCGAATGGTTAGTTTCAGCAGGGAAGTGCGGAATTTGGAACTTGCCTCTTGCAAAGTAGGTAAAGCCTTGATAGCGACATCTGGTTTCATACGAGCATAGTTGACCAGAAACAGGAAGCACCTACTTTTGCGTCAGTTATTCGTTCGCGCAACTTTCAATGTAATTAGTCAACCCACATCTTCTTAATCTCCAAGCTGGGTATTTGCATACACCCAACAATATCTGGAAACAGAGCGACCATATCATTGTTGCTCATGGTCATATTGGCTACAATCTTCTTCAGAGCGATCTTCTTCGCGGCATGATTCTTGTCTTTCTTTCCACCACTATTCAATTCCAATCTTAGTTCCGCGACTTTGCCCTGTGGAGAACGATTATAAAGTGAGCCAACTGATCCATATCCCGCTGGTGGTATATAGGAAGGTAGAAACATAATAGCAGGATGCGCCTTCATTGTGAACTCCGAGATGATTGAATCTTACAGACTATAAGACCCCAAGCATCTTAGGTGCTACAAATATGCAACAGATCGGGCGAGCACATGGAAGGAAGTTGAGGCGCAAATGATATAATAAACTGTGAAATTGTACGATAATTGATCCAAGTGACATACCCTTGCAAAGAGCTTCGCATCTCCCCCGCCTGAGCTCATGATGTGCGAGCCTCAATCCCCTCGTGTGTATGGTGACTTTGTCGCTGTACCCTCGATCGTACACGAAACCCCTCCCAGTTCAATCTCGTAAGAAATGCGTCGACCACTGAGATCGTTCGTTTCCCAAGCCGGCACCACGGGGTAAATCGATAATGCGCCACAATCACCGACAGTATAACGTTTGAGTTTGTCGCAGATATCTCTCCATCGACTTGAGGAATCTTAAATTTCGCAGATATATTTTTATCAAATGTAAATGCAATGTTTGTAATTTGTGGTGCTCAAAACGGACTTCGAGAACGACGTGAAGTAAAGATCACCTAAAGGGGTGGCTCTAGTAAGCTCGGGATCGCGGATTTAAGCTAGCGTGGGAAGCTTATTCCATGGTGTCCGCTTCCTTGCTACCTGCTAGGTAAGAATTAACATTTGTAGTTTCTGCCTTAATACCTAATTTGACACGACGTGCGACGACGACAATTTACAAAGGATACGGGTCTATTCAATTATCCTTGAAACGCGAAATCGTAACTTATCAAAATGGCGGAGCTCGCGATTTCACCACCTCCCCCTCCCCCTCAATGGGTTGTAGATCTTAATACTCCACCATTATCGAAGCCAAAATCAGCAGGTATTCCAGATCCTCCAGGATATACAGCTTCCTCTTCTTCAAGCCGAGTATGTTATTTTCAATCCATATACTATTGACCGTCTGCTGAAATTTGTACTCTGCAGAAGCAAACCACCAAAACCCCACGACAACCTCCGACTCCCGCTGAAATGGATACACTGAAGCTTAAGAAAGCATGGGAAGTGGCTTTGGCTCCTGTCAAACAACTTCCAATGACGGCGATTATGATGTACATGTCAGGAAACTCTCTTCAGATATTCTCCATCATGATGGTGGTTATGGCATTCAAGAATCCTCTGATGGGACTTATGGCTACAAATCAAGCATTTGAACGTTTTGAGAGTGAAGGGACAAGAGGAAAGTTGGGTGTTGTTAAATTAGCATATGTTGCATGTCAAGTGATAGCTTTGGCGCTAGGAATATGGAAGGTTAACGGAATGGGATTATTACCGTAAGTTGTCTGTACAAATGGTTCGGGATAAAATGCTAATGGCGCTGCAGTACTACAAGGTCGGATTGGTTGGCTTGGGAGACAGCAAGAGATCCTCTAGAACGAGCTATTCCAGCTTTCTGAGGGATACGGCTTGCGAAGAATGTACGTTATGGCGTTAGGATATCATGGAACTATGAACAATAAAGTATATTAGGGCGCATATGTCGCGCTGATGCAATATAAGTCTCGTGAGCGATTGTTTAAACGAAGTAGTCCAAATTTCAAACAAAACACAGCACAGAGACTATCAGCGACACATATGCGCAGTGTTAGAGAGTGATGAAATTATGTTATTTTATCTGGATTATTGAAACATGCACTCGTTCGAGGTACGCCGCTGTACAACCCTCCCATGCTAATGCATTCTAATCCCACCCTCTAACTTTTGAGGCATCTATTATGTCTTCACATACCAATGACGATATATTGTTACACAGCGATATATCGATCAAACTTTGTGACTTTGCAATCATCCTCAGAATATATGTTATTGCACCAAAACGATTCTGTGCTTATCCTACATTCACCCCGAATTCGATGTCAGGCGGTAGTCTTGCAATTATAGAGAGACAGATTCGCATTCGAGCCATATATCTATCTGCAAGTGCAGATACAGATCTCACTTTATACATCGCACCGACTGCTCTTAAATCTTATCTCCATCTTTCGATCAACTAAATGCGACTAGTTCTCGTTGCGATTCTATACTTTGCCTGCCTCGATATTCTCCGAGAATTGAGATTTTGAATTCCTTCGATCCTGCATGAAATCTCCCCTGATCCAATCTCGCAAAATACCTGTTGACCAGCACTGCCCTTAAATCTCATTTCCTTTTCCGTTAGATCTTACTGTGGAGATTTCCTTTAACTGTGATTCCAACGCTTCCTTTACTTTATCGGTGTTTATGAAGTCCTCCATCAACAACTGTAGTCGCGTTACCCTGCATGTGTCGCATTTTTTATGAGAGCATTTGCTACATTTGTCCAACGTCATCTTATTGCGTTCACCGCACTTGAATCTTAAGTTAGCACATTGTTAGCTTCTTGTATTATTCTTAGGAATAAACTCACCCCTTGATTATCCCTCGATGCATTATCACAGCACATCCACATTGTGTCGCTGATGCTTGAAAAGTAAGGCATATTGTTTAGCAACTCTTATACTAGTTGCTAGTTGTGAAATGTTTCGTAAAGTTTGTTATCAATCTGGATGGATTTGGCGTCGTTGTATAATGTCTGCAGAGTGATACTTTCAAGGGTTCCGGAGTAATATTCTTCCAAGATTCATATGTTGCATCATAAAATGATGGTGGGAAGCTGAAGGGGGTTAGTTCTAGCCTACGGTTAAGCTGTGGGTTAAGTGTTGATTGAATATGTTCGGTACGGCCGTGAATAACTTTGAACTTTAAATCCATCCTTCGTACAGGAGGACAATCACCAACTGATTTGATATACTGCAGTGAGATTGAATACATGTTGCATGATGGCATCCATAGGATAGCCAAGCAATACTAAGGCCTCGGTTTACTTATTATCAAGACTGAAATCGTTCAACATCTAACCGCATTGAGGGAAGCTTCTCCCGTCAAACTCGAAGGATGGTATGCGGCCAACAGACCGAACCTTGTATTTCAACCTAAAATTAACCTTAATCCTGCTTCACAGAGGTGGTGGGTTGAGGTTGTTTGGACCGTGCTTAAGACCTTGCTGTTTGGCATGATTTCATTGCTGAGGCTGTATAGTGCTTGGCAAGTAGACGGCAAAGATGAATAGGGTCTAATGTTAATCTGGAGCAGCCTTTGAAGTTCGTAAGCCGTAGGAAAATACTTGGTAGTTTTTGATTGAGGAAAACGTAAATTACACACGGTACAGTAAAAGTTAAGCGGAGGGATTGGGTGGGGTGAGGGGAACCAATTTCATAAATTTCTCATCGCTCTGTGAATCAAGCTCCGTGAATCAAGCTCCGTGAATCAAGCAAGAAAATCGAAAAAGAAACATGACTTCGTTAAAATATCCGATTTTCAACCAGTTTATCAAGGAATCCGCCATTCTGTATGCACTTCGAGTGAAGAATGGAAATTTCTTAATAAATTTATCATCATCCATGTGATTGAGGGTATGTGAGCTTTCCAAATGAATAACAGAATCCACAGACAAGCAACTATTACAATCATAGCTTGAGAAGCTGGTGATAGACAAACATTGACTAGGCACTAACCGTAAACTGAATTGAAAAACGGCAAATCATGATCCTGCGAATGATGTCTATGAATGGCGGTGGGAATGTAGGCCCTTTGATCACAACAGCGATATTTGCTTCCAATCAATGCGAGTAAATTTAAGTCCTCTTGAAACTCATTTACTGGTAAATGGTATGAAAATGGGGGTGGGGAATGTCAGGAAGAACGTGGAATTCGGATCTTAACATGGTATCTGCATGTCTGCTCTGACTTGATGGGTTTTTGACCGCATTCTATATTTACACCCGAACCTGCGAAGTCGATTGGCAAAAAGGCTCAGCCGCTCATTTTCAATTCATGATATATCCTTTATCTTCCGGCATCCTTCTTGGTTGAGTCTGCGTTGTTTCCATTCTTGCTTCCCTCGATGCTTGCCATGAAGTCCCTAGTAGATGTTAGAGGAAGAAAATGACATATGCATGTGAAATCAAAAGATCCTCTCATTGAACCTACTTAATGTATTTCTCCTCATCTGGACTTTTGGCGTTAATTGGTGGAGTTGACTCCTTCTTTGCAGCAGATCCACCACGAGTGGACAAAGTGACGAGTCCAGCCATCGAACCGAGAACTGCCATAGCTAACTAGTATCGCGGTTCCTGTTAGTAAAACTCCCTGAATTCTGCTCATTGCGTAGCCTGTTCAATTGCACGTAGGAAAATCAAAGATTTTGAGTAGAGGACTTCGGAATAGGCCACTTACGTAGTGGGAGCCAACTTGCTTTCCGGCGATTTGATAGTAAGAAACCATTTTGACGAGTTCGAGATTTGACTAAATCGATAATTGTTCGAATATGGTTGCGGTGACGGAGTGAAGGTTCGTGATAGAATTGATCCGGTACAGTTTGATTGAACTGGAGCCATACAAATTTCCAAGCTAGGCGATTTAAGCGCTAAGCGCGCACCGTAAGATTCCGAGATGCCGATTGTCTTCCCGTCCCGCGTTGAGGGACAGAACAAAGCGAGGCAAGCAGAAGGGTTCCGCTTCCAGCTTTCCACTCCACCTTTTAGCGTCTAGGAATCCGAGGAGTACCAGCAACAAGCAACCCCCCCCCCCCCCCCCCCCCACTCGTGGATATCGCCATTTCCCCATGCCAGGACCGGACGAGAACACCGGTTAATACTTGACGAGTTCTTCCGTCCGAGGGCATAGAAAAGGAATGCGACAAAAGACACCAGTTTTTTTTTCACGATTAAAACAGCTAATCAGATTTTGAAAGCTACTTGATACACCATTTACTGTTCACTGGTTTCCACTTCAATATCTTCAGTATAAACAAGGAAATATGGCTGGAAAGGATAGCAATAACTCTCGAGGTCCACCCCCGACTAGTCTACCGGACGTGGAAAAGCTTCCTGATGGAATGCAAAAGATCGTAGACAAAGCAGATAAGGAGGACAACTTCTATGATGAGCTCTATGATGGATAGTATGTATCCGCGCGACTCTTGCCTCAGCTAGCCTCTTGCACTCGAGATTCACACAGACTCATCAAGTACTATTTTAACTCACAAAATGCTAATTGTGATGCGACAGTGCTCCTCAGACCACCGAAAGCAATATTCGATACGCGGCTTATGCTACTCGCATACGAACAGGTCAGTTTCTTCATATGGCATGCAGTTCTAGAATTTTGGCTAAGATCTCTGATAGCCCTATTATCTGCGCAACGATACGTAGCTTATACATCAGATATCGGGGAATCTTTTCGACCCGTAGCTCATCCAAACTGGGTTCGAGCAGCTTATGGCGTCTCATGGGCCTATCTCATTGGCGATGTCACACATGAGGGATACAAGGCATACTGTAGGAATCAGGAGGTTTTGCATCCGGAACTTCCGCGAGAAGCAATGCACGATCGATACAATGATGCAAAGACGGATCTTAAGATAGCCGCCAATGAGAACGGGGTGCCATTAAAACCTCGTCAAGTTGCGCCACTGGATGATTACAGGACAGTAATGGCACAGCGTGCCCTATTTCAAGGAATTGCTTCTATGGGTAAGTGCCTTGATTTTTCTTTTTCGCTGTCATGCTGAAAATGATGTTAGAAGAGTTCCACCAAGAAACCATCACTAACGCGAGCAGGTTTACCCGCCTTTACCATTCATTCCATTGTGCGGTACTCCGGTAAATACATGAAGAATGTCAAGAATGTAAGGGTTAGAACATGGGGCCCCATAGGTCTGGGACTGGCTGCTGTACCCGCTTTACCTTTCTTGTTTGACAAGCCTGTCGAGGAAGCAGTTGAATTTGTATTCCATAAAGGCTTCGAGGCCTTCGGCGGTAAACCTGCCGTGGGTAACGCACCTGTCACGGGTCGGGAACATTTGTTAGAGCGACCCGAGAAGGCAAAGAAAGAAAAAGAATTGTGACGAATAGTTACTTTCAAAATTTGGAGCATGGCGTTTAGGAGACATCCATCTCTATTGGTATTGGGTCAGCATAATATCAGTTCCATTTCGAATTGCGTTGATTTCTTTTTCCATTATTTTTGGTTTCTCACACGCAAAAGGTTGGTTGCACTCAAGTATACTTCTATTTCCAAAGAGTGGTACAAGAGAATTTTTAGTTTCATGATTCACAATTCCTTAATTTTTATCTTCATTTACGAAACAGAATCGACATATTCTACGCCGAGTGGCTGTACTCTCAGCTTTTTCAATATCAAACAACCGACCCGATTAGTATTCCGATGTTGGTTCACAAACACTATTCTTCTTGCCTACTTGAGATCTGAATGGTAGATAGACTGATTTCCAACCTTTCTAATCGGAATTGTCATGCCATATAAGTTTAAGGTATAGTACATGAATGTGATTCACTTTCTCTGCAGTGACTTTATAAACTTTGAAAATGTCTTTTGTTTTTCTACTTAGCTCCAAAAGGGAACAGCATCATGGCGGCCGTAAGATTCAACCAAGACTTGATAAAACTGGTCGAAACTGCCGACATTGCGAAGCCTATGTGTGATGAGTTCAAGAAGATGATTTCAGGAATGAAGTCGGTACATCTCGACTCAAAAATACCTTGATATGATCACTGATTCTTGTGGCGTTTAGTTTCAAGGCATGTCTAGCCGATTGTATGCCCAAATTCAAGTTGAACGTACGTCGACATTTACTTAACTTCAATGAAAACTCCATAAACGAAGAAGATACTCTTGACGACCTCAAAAATCGTCGAATGGCCGTAGCCAAGACCTTGTTTGGCAAACTTGGTTTGGATACCAATATCGAGGCTCCATTATTCTGTACCTGGGGCTGCAACACGTTTATTGGTAAAAATGTCTATATCAACAGGGAGTACGTCACATATTGCTATCCTGCCGAGATTCTACTAAGTATGGTATTACAGTGTCTCGATCTTTGATAGCGCACCCGTTCAAATTGGCGATCGTGTTCTCATTGGACCCGGTGTCTGTATATGCACCGATACACATGAAGTTGACGCTGTATCGAGAAAACAAAGCCAAGCAGGATCTTATGCAAAACCAATAGTTATTGGCGACGATTGCTGGATTGGGGGAAGAGCAGTTATAGTTGCAGGGGTCACTATTGGGAATGGATCGACGGTTGCAGCTGGGGCTGTTGTGGTCAAGGATATTGAAGCAAGTAAGTGCTATGCCTTTCTCATTTGGTTCTTTTAGCCTTGTCATTCACGATGCGCGCTTCAAGCACGTGCGATAGACCGGGTTGGGAATTGTTTCGCTTAGATATTGATGCGTGTACAGATTGTCTTGTTGGTGGTGTGCCTGCCAAGATCATCAGGAGACTTGATAACGGAGCTATATCGCCAAAGTAATATTCTGCGGCTTTGATACTTTTTTCCATTTCGGCGGCATATTTTTTGGGGACTTTAGGGGGTGTGGAGGACTATTTGGAGTCAGGTGAACCCCTATATATGTAATATTGTTATCTCGATGGTTATATATCGTTGATGTATTCGGGCTTTCTTATATAGTTGCACCTAGTCTGCACAGATCACTAGATATAATGGAGATCCTTATACTTACTTGAACCAAGAGCGAGTTCCCAGACTAGATTTTTCTTGTTCTTCAGGCACCTGATGCTCTAAGATCATAGGTAGTCATACAAGTGGCCTCGAAGTATGATGCGGATCTTCGGCGCGGCCTTAAAGCTCAGCATGTTGTTTGCAAATCTTTGAAATGTTTTTGATATTTACATTCAATATCTGATGAGTTTGATGGCACTGAAACGAGCGCTCATAAGCTGGCCGCTATAAATGTGAATTCCAATAGCTGTGTGTAGGAGTGAGAAGAAATTCCCATTTGTGCGCCATGCGTGTGTTAGAATTAGTATGTCGAACTTGGCTTCGAATATTACATACCGTGGGAACTGTAAAGCTGATATTGATAACATTATAATATCATGCCATGCTCGAAAGTTCATTGTTTGGATCATTATCTAGATTTTAGGATGTGAAAACTCCGGAATCGAAATCCCACATAATACTAGCGGCAATTTGATACCTACCTATTTGGTGCTGAGTCTTTTCCCTCTCGATTTTTGGTTGAATGACCTGCCTGTTCTGGGTGTAGTGATGCAAATTTTGCATCCAACCTCTTACTCATCCTTGCTTCTTGAATATTTGAATAGAATTTGGCGAGGAATAATCAAATCTTCTGAGTGGAACCATAGGGTTTGCCTTTCCTTCATGAATCATGATCCGAAGAAAGACTATCCTATTGAACATAAGAAGGATTTTACAAGACAAGTCCCACTTGATATCACGTCATTCAATCTCTTCCCCAGAAAGACAGTTGATTCTAGGATTTCACCGCCCAGGCACATATCGTTTATGATGCGAAAAGTATGACTCTAAAAACACTCATCAATAGAATTTGTGTATGAGTTGAGCATAATGAGTCTAAAATGACTGGCAACTCTGGAGATGAATTAGGAATAGCAGCTAAATGTGATCTTGATAGTGTTCGAAGGATCCCCTTCCTTTCCTCTTCTTTTCTTTTTGCTTATGTTCCTCAATACTCGAAAATATTAAGACCCGAGAACAATACCTTGCCCACTTACAACTTACAATAATCGTGTCGAATGTCGAATATCCGGCTTCACCAAACATGACGGAAATTCCAAGGATTGACAATTCAACCACCGCAGCCGAAGAGTATGGTCTCCAAAAACCGTTCATGTAGTAGCTTCTCTTTGTTGATTTTTTATGTAGATGTCAGTCGACCTTGAATCTGCCCAACTACATTTCTGGTGAGAGCAAGAATTCATGATGACATCACTCTCAACACACGCAGTGCTATCGATGGTAAAGTTAGACGTATTGTAATCCGTGCTGGATGCGTACTTGGATCTAAAATACATCTCAAAGCAAATGTCTACCTTCATCACAATGTAGAAGTCGACCATGACACGAAAATCGAGGAGGAGGTGGATATCTTGCGAAACACTAAGATTGAATCTCATGCAAAGATTGGACGACGCGTTCACATTGGTGAAGGGGTGAAGGTTGGTCGAGCAACCTCGATAGGTAAACACTCAAATATTGATTCTGGAGCGAAAATTGGAGCAAATTGTGTATTGGAATGGGGGTCTCCATCAAAGCCGGCGCAGTCATACAGAGTGAAGTACAAATTGGAGATAGAACAAGCATCAGCAGAAATTCGTGGGTTCTCAATGGAGCGAAGCTCGGTCGAAACAATTTGATCAGGGAGCGCGCTGAAGTTGGGAACAATGCAAGAATTGGAGATAGAACTTGCATTGCCAGTGATGTTGTTGTGCTGAGAGGAGTACAGATAGGTGAGTGGGTCACCGTAGAAGAAGGTGGAATAGTCGATGAGAATATCCCTGATGTTCGGGGTACAAATTAGTATAGCGAGCATGAGATCATACTTGCTACTATACTTTTCGGCGTCGTCATTCCATAGCTGGACATATATTAATAAACTTGCGTAGATTTCAAACATATAGTCTACTTTCGGCGATTTAAAAATCAAAAGAGGTAGGAACTTGTCAATCATCTACTAAAATGAAAGTTCTAATCGTGGTTTCCTAGAGTGGCTTGATTACATGCATCACGCAAGATTCCACTCATGGTTTCCGAAGATGACTGCAAAGCTCAAACTTTCTACTATGAAAGAACTATCTCTTCGTTCCTTGGGATGACTTAAGTGTAAATACGACTAGTATAAAAGCGCAAGCTCATTGCGCAGAGCGCCCAATAATCCAGACCGACAGACTAATTCGAATTCTTCAGTGTTTTACAGCAGTATGCTATGCAAAGCGAAAAAGTATCTCCAACCATATTAATGATCTCACTGAACTCAAAAAAGAATGTATCTCTGCTAGGCTGAAATCCAGAGCGGGTGGCAATGAAACGGCTCCAAATCATAGCAATCGAGAAGTTTCGGTTGTGGCTTCTTGAATGAGTGAACATCACAAACTATTATCCAACGACTCGATCTCTGTTTCCCAAAATGATGATCCACTGGTATCAAGCAATGGATGATCTACATGTACTATTCAACCATTCATAGAAAGACAAAAACAGTATTCGTATCAATAGGAAAATAAACAATGGCAAATTTACCACCAAATATCGATTTTGACAGGCATGAGTGGGCAGCTATGGCTGATTTCACAGGCCAAAACGTCTATTCTACCAGCGCTAATGCTTATGGATACGCGAATTTAAGAATTTATAACAAAGAAGCTGTAACCAGGCTAGAGCACACTCATGAACTTTTTATAATACATCATACTGTTGCGGCAGATTCACGTTGCCATGGGTTCAATACATCAATGTAACGTATATCCAATATCCGAAACAGAGGCTCTACTGACAGCTTTACTGGTAGCATCAAGATTAGCGGTAGATGCGGTATCATTATCTGCAGACCTGGTATGATTAGCTCTATGGTTCATCTCAACGCCAGTGATGAAAAGATTATCCTAAAAACCGGGTGTAGAATTGACAACGATGTTTACATTGGTCCTGGTGTAGTGATTGGGATCGGTGTACATGTCTGCGCAAATGTTCGGATAGCTGGCGACACAGAGATCAGCAATCATACAAACGTGGAAAGCGGCGTGATTATTGGCTGGAACGTACGCATTGGCGCGAATGTATTGATTGGGCAAAACGTCGTAATCGGAAGGAATGTTGTGATTGGAATATCGGCAGTTATTGAAATGGGTGTTGTAATTGAGGACAATGTACGCATTGGAACCATGGCAAAGATCCCGAGGATGGGGAGAATAAAGGCTGGCACGAAAGTTGGAGACAATGCTATATACTCTCCTCAGTAATATCTTCAAGGGACTATTCTCCAGCCGAACATCAGATGGGCACACAGATGTTGGGACTTTCAGGGGTTTCTATCGTCCAGGTAAAAATGTAAGATTACTTTAGTCAACCTGCGTCGAGATTCATAAATTTACTCTCTGAAGGAAATAGAGACAGGAAACATCACCTACAAGTTTTTGGACTACCATTTGGTGGTATTAGACTAAGCAAATCCCATAAATCATTAATAACAAGTTCTCGCAGTGAATTTCTCAAATGATCGGGACATCTCACTCCGAATACAGTCTCTCAAAAGTCCAAAGCTATACTCTCTAAATAATTCTAGGAAAGCTCTTCATATCATTTCAGTGTAGCCAACTAAGGTAGTTATTTACCTGAGCCACAATATTCGGCAACAAAGACAGGCGCAGACATCTACTCTAGTAGCGAGGCCTAGCTCTGGATGATCACTCAGTGGGAACTTTCCCGGATAAAGTAGCGAGTTATAGCCAGAAATTCTAGAGTAAGTGTTCCTGACAGGGTTCAGAATCTCCATGTTGAAGAACACCGCAGCATCAATGCCTCGCCAAATGAGAGACGATAAAATGAAGTTCAAGAGATAGAATTCTGTGTCTAGATCACAAACCCACAGCTCAATGTCAACCATCATTAATTTCGGATTTCGGATCAGTAGCACACAGAGACTACTCATATTGCTTCATGCCAAATATTGAGAGTTAGGGAGCGGCAATCAAGCGAAGTATGTGGGGATAGAGCATTATAATTTCTCAAAATTTAAATTACATTATCAAACAACGCCTAGCACCTAAAACAAACACCAGCTCAACTATTGCAACCTATCCCTGTCCATTCGCCGCCGAGAGTCTCCTCTTCAATTCTGGCATATTCCATCTTGAGGGTAGCAACATATCCTATTACTTGTTAGTATCCTCAATCACCCGGAGGATTTGATACGTACCCAAATAGTATGCCAAAAGAAGGTCGAGAGGAACCAAACCGTCCAAGCATCTGCACCAGCCAACTGATGTGTCTGTGGATGCTTCTTCAAAGCGTTCTTCACGACTTTATTGGCATAAACATCGACATCCACTGCATTACTCAATATGATATCTCCTGCCGCAGCAGATTTAACCACATCTCTCGCCGGGGCATATGGCGAGTTATCTGGTAATCTGACCGATGGTTAATTGTCGAAAAATTTAGGTTTCACTCCACCAGTGATTACAAGAATGGCTTTAACACCGAGAGGCTCGAGTTCAAGACGAAGTTGATCAGTAATCAAGTTTACTGCTGCTTTACTTGCATTATAATATCCTTGCCAATATCCGGGGCTACTGCCAGCGACTGAGCCGATGTTAATAACTGTCCCTTTGGAGGAAATGAGAAGTGGTGAGAACGCCCGTGTTACTGCGACGAGAGCGAAGACATTGATGTCGAACATCTTTTGAGCAAGTGATACTTCAGAATCTAATAGTGGCATGGCGTAACCTAGATTTCGTGAGTATTTACCTTGAGATACTGGCCCAGCAATATGAATTCTTAAAACATACAAGCACCGGAATTGTTAACGAGGAAATCCAATTTCCCTCCAATTTTCAATGTTACGGCATTAACAGCCTCCTTGATGGACGTCGAATCTGTGACATCAAGTGAAAAAGTATCAAGTCCTAACTTTTTGAGATGTTCGATTTTAGCAAGATTTCGAGCTGTAGCGAAAACTCGAAGACCTTGGCGATGAAAAGATTTTGCTAGAGCATCTCCAATACCACCCTCACTGCAGCCAGTGATCAAAACTGTTTTGGGGGTCATTTTGTTATATAAATATGTGGATAGACGTGATGCTTGAAATTGCAACGAAGCTGCCTTTGTGTTGCCTGGATGTATATATAATGCAAACGGAAGATGAATGTAATGAGATGATTGATTGATCTGAGAAAAAATTCTACGAACTATCGTATTTATATACTTTCTCTCAAGATTTCGACTTACTGCTCGGATTCAGCTTGAATTTCCTCGTCTCCCTTCTAAACAGTATACAAACGACATATTGGGCATTCGGAAAGAAGGTTGCTCCGCACCGTAGCCTTATAAACCCACATTTCTGCTTGCATAACAATAATATGAGTTTATCTTAAAACGAATGGACTTTAGATTGACTTTTCAGTCTCGGGAGGATTACTGATCAAGCCGAAACTAGCGGTTGTCTATATGAGGGCAACTGGATCATGTGACGATCGTAGAGCAGTCTTCATGATTGTTAGGAAGCGTTAGATTGAAAATCGACAATGAGTGCGGATTTGTCACTTTTGTTCTTGCAAAGTGCAGAAATCAATGGCTTATTTGATTTGAAAATGGTCATCTCCTCTCGATTGTCAGCCCATGGAATTAAATATTGATGGCCTCAGGCATCGATCTCACATCTAGCGCCGAAATACCACTTTACGCGTCCAAACGCGTCCAAACGCGTCTCACCACCATTTTCCATTTCACTTTGATTTCACAAATCTGTTTGGAACAACGATACAAACCCTTCACATCAATTATCAAATTATACCATTTTGGCAGGATTCAAGATGTCACCATCACTTAAAGAAGAACTCTCTACTCTCCCTCATGAAATTCTTGCAACAAAGGAATCCACTGAACCAAAGCCATCTCCAAATTCAACTTCTACTCCCAAGAAACATGAAGAATATCAATATCTAGACTTAATCCGTGAAATTCTAGAAACGGGTGAACATCGTCCTGATCGGTAACTTTCATCCATTCTCTTTCACATTCATTACAATTCCCAGAAGAATACATGACTGACGAAACCATCCAATAGAACAGGAACTGGCACAATCTCCCTCTTCGCCCCCGCACCTTTAAAATTCTCCCTCACATCCCCAACAGGAACTCCAATTCTTCCCCTCCTCACAACAAAACGCGTATTTCTCCGCGCCGTCCTAACTGAACTTCTCTGGTTCATATCCGGTTCCACTTCTTCTCTACCTCTCTCCGCTGCTGGAATAAAAATTTGGGATGGCAATGGATCCCGTGCATATCTAGACTCCATCGGTCTTTCTCACCGTGCCGAAGGAGATTTAGGTCCTGTGTATGGATTTCAATGGCGACATTTTGGTGCTAAATATATCGATGCCGAATCAGATTATACAGGACAAGGTGTTGATCAATTAGCAGAAATTGTATGGAAGCTCAAGAATAATCCATGGGATAGGAGAATCATTTTGAGTGCATGGAATGTGGCAGATATTAAGTTGATGGCATTACCACCTTGTCATATGTTTGCGCAATTTTATGTTTCCTTCCCGAAAAGTTCTACTACATCCTCAACTTCCGAACCAAATACAAACCCCTCAAATCCAGAATCGAAACCTAAAGGTATCCTCCATTGTCAACTCTACCAACGTTCCTGCGATATGGGTCTTGGTGTCCCGTTCAACATCGCTTCTTACGCTCTTTTAACACATATTCTCGCTCATGCATGCGATCTTACACCCGGTACATTTGCACATACAATGGGAGATGCACATGTTTATGTTGATCATGTTGATGCATTAAAAGTACAGCTTGAGCGAGAACCTAGAGAATTTCCTGAATTGGGAATTTTGAGGGAGGATCAAGGTAGTGGAGTTGTAGATGGATGGAAGCCAGAGGAATTTGAGGTTAGAGGATATAAACCACATGGGAAGATTGATATGAAGATGAGTGTTTAAGGGGCGGGATGGAGTTTTGGGAAAGAGGGGAATGGAATTTGGGATAAGTGGTGAGGGGAACAAATAGAGATTCAATTATGTATAGATAGATATTAGATGAGTATGAATTATTGAGTTATGGTATTCATGAGGCGTGATTATCAAACTAATAAGTTATTCTGTGTCGAATCACCCAATCCAAAATGAAACATACGAGGTAGATGAATAAATGCCGCCTTTTTGTAAGCGAAAATATCAATCTTCAATAAGAAAACTCATCTTCTATAAACTAGTATTATATTATATTTTCGAATCAAAAATTCTGTACTACATACATAAACTTCACGATACTTTTTAAGCATCTCAATGTATGCAAAGTAGAATCAATAGGTTATATTGGAAAATTGATTTATTGTAAATAATACACTAATTATTAAATAAAAATAAAATCTTTTTATTGACATTTCTCTTGTGAGTGCACGGACACAGCATTCAATTGAAATAGGCCCTCGCATTTCGAATCAGAAATGACACAACCAACAACATTTATCATTTATATTCAACGAAATATAAAAAATCTCACTCCTACCGGCCCAATTTCATCTATAGAAAGCAAAAATGTATGCTGTTCGGGCCTAATCCGGGATCGAACCGGAGACCTCTTACATATGAATTTGGATAACCCAAAGCAAGAATTCTACCACTGAACTATCAGGCCGTTTTGATATACAGAGGCTTCTAATTCTCATTATATATATTAAAATTTGAAGTGATAAAAGTTCTGTAAGCGATAGTGGAGAAGTGGGTTATGGTCAGTGCTCACAATCGGTGGGTCAGCTCGTCAGATGAATGGTTGTATTGAGAGATTGAGCAGAAGTTGAGTACCATTCAGAAGGACTTTGACAATTCGAGTCTCCCTTCAATATCGTATAAGTTGTATAAAACTCTGAGTGTGAAGACGAAGCAGGCTCAAATTTTCGTTTGATCTTTTCATATTTAAAATATTTAAGTTAACTTGAAATGAATTTATATTTCAATTAAGAAGTCCTTTCAAGGGGGACTCAATTCCTGTTTTTCATCTGGGTTACATAGAGATTGAATAACGGCTGAGGGATACATAATGGTGACCCGTGATTAATTGGTCTGAATTGGGTTTCAACTCAGCAACTTCGTGGGGGTTATGGTTTTTGAATGAGTTCTATGAATTCTGTATTTTAGCTTCAATTTCAAACAACCTCAAACTCGATTTTTGAAGTCTATTTTGGATTGAAATTGGCTAAATGGTTAACCATGGGTGATTCTGATTCAATCATTGAGTTGAGTCATAGATAACCCAATAGACTTTTTGGGATTAACGGTTTGGTTTGGGTCTTGAAAAAGAAAGTACGAAACCCTCGCATTGCGAGTAGTGGTTGTAGTATGGATTGTGGAGACGTGGGAGGCGAGCGTGGCTTGCATTGTGGTGCGACTGGTAAGCGAGTTGGATAGGGGAAATTTTGGATAGGTGGATGGGGATGGATGCGTGGATGGGTAGGTGGGTGGATAAGTAGATATAAAGATGTATGTTTAAAAAGTCTTGATTATTACTGATTTGGTTTGTTGATGGGGGAGGGATCGATTTGTTTCCTGGATTTGTTTTGATTAGATTTTGTGGGTTCTTTTTACTGGTGTGGGTTTGAATTCGTGGATCGGAGGATTTGTGCTTGAGATGATTGGTTGTATGTGGTATTATATCCTATATTTATCTTTTTGAGGAAGTGTCTGTACTATCAATCTTAATCTTCATTCAATATAGCTCTACACACAGCACCAGATTCTACATATCAACAAGTCTCTAGGATCATACTCCCTCTCCTCTTCCTATACATCCCACAGAACACAAGTCATTCCAGGAATCGTTGCAGAAACTCCTTTCGAATTTTCGAATTTCTGGTTCGATGAGAATTTGAATCGGTATGGATGATTGGTATATAGTATAGTACTTGTCTACCTATCTATCTACTCAGTAAACAGAATTCAAAGTTCAAACAAGTTACTAACCACTCCATATTTCTTCCCCGCGGAACAGAAAAATTGAGTAGCAAGATATCACCTCCCCCTTCTCCCAGTATACTAAAAGAAAGTTGATTATATAAAAAATTCAGAATTAATACACTTCTCTGAATATCATCAAGCATATACATAAATTCACAACCTCATCTCATCTCACCTCTCGCCTCACCACTCCAATTTCTATTCACATCATGCTCAAACCCATAAATCCAAGTAATCTTACATATTGTTCTCTCTTAAATACTCGTACATTAGTACTCTCATTAGATTCTAGAATTTACAAAATAAACATAGAATAGTCATGTTTTCATAAAACTAATCGCTGAAGAGATATACTATTTTATCTCTCGAACTTATTTTCTCTGGTACAATGAATTGATGAAAATTCCTATCAAAAAATTAGTAGGGATTTATTGATTCCTCATTTTCTAAGTTTTCGAGTCCCAGAGTCGGTTCACTTCTTATACATATACATATACAATCCATTCCACCCTATCGCCCATCTCCCATCTCCCATTACTCATCGCACATTTTCTCAAATACTTGATCCAGATACCTCTTAATCTAAATATATAGCTCAATGTATCTACATCCAAATCTACACTCGCCTCCCAATTTCCACCTCCTAACTTTTAAGTTCCAAGTTCTACCTCCCAACCTCCAACTTCCAAGTTTTGACTGTATCCAAATTTCAAACCCATCCACATTTCAAAAAGCAATCTAAGTTCTAGAGAATATAGAGAAGATGGGTTTGGAGTTTAATATGTAGATTTAATATATAAATATATATTAGGAAGGATTATATAGAGTCATTTATTTCTTATTTTCCCTTTGTTTATTTTTTCGTCGACTTATCGATTTATTTGTTCATTATATTATTGTATAATATTACATCACATTATCGAACTATCTTATACACATATAACTCCCTTCCTCTTCTCTCCTCCCTCTTTTCTCTTCTCATTTCTCCCCTCTCTTCCCCTCTCTTCCCTTCTCTTCCCCTCTCTTCCCCTCTCTTCCCCTCTACAATGCACCTTCCTAAAATGCCCTATTTACAAATTTCCCTTTTTTCAATCAACCCCCCATTGATCATAAAATATCAACCATCAAATATCAGACACCAAACAATCAATAAACATTTTAAAACAACATAATATAATCTAAAAGGACATAACCCCTTACTATCTCCCCCGCTCTATCATCTCCTCCTCCACCACCTCATTTCATCCCATCCTTCTTCATAACATCACCGCATCTCCTCCATTCTCTTCCCAGTCCATCGCATCCCTCCATCTCATCCCCTCTATTCCATCCCCTATACCACATCCCCTATACCCCATCTCCCTTCCCTCCCTCTCCCTCTCATACTTACTCTCCCTCTCCCATTCTCATTCCCATTCCCATTCCCATTCTCTTACACTTACCCTTCCACCTACCCACACTTCTCCACATTTCCCTCACAAAACTACCTAGGTACATATTGATTCACAACACGACACCTATCTATACATAACTCACCATGCGAACAGGACGGTGCATTCACACTCTCAATTCACACTCTCAATTCACATTCTCAAACATCCACCCACTACACGAATCAATCCATTTATACTTTTGAATCGAATCGTACCATCATCCAGTCACTTACCTACTCCCTCATTCCCTCATTCCCTCACCTCACCTCCACTACACCTCACCTCTTTATCAAGACCACAGCAAAAACAAAAACAAACACAAATACAATGCTATCCACCCCTTTATATCTGATCCCAATTCCTTTCCCCATCTCCAGTCCACCCCTCTATTCCCTTCCATTTCCATTTCCATCCCTATTTTACCACTCAACAATATAACTATATCCTTTCCGATCCAATCCATTCCACCCGGCAACACAACTACAACTACAACTACAACTACAATTATAATACAAAAGCTGCACATCCACATCCACACCCACATCCACACATCAAAATTCAATCTTCCCAAAAATAAACAAAAATATGTTCAAAAACTCCTCATAAAAAAAGGGTAAAAAGGGTATAGTGTAAAAGATATAAAAATATAAAAATCAACAACCAAAATAGCATCCATCATATCCCCAGATCGGCACATTCTCATACCATCTCCATTCCAATCACCATCCCCATATCCATCCCCATCTCACCATCTGAACCACCAACCACCAACCATAGCCCATACCAATTACACTTTCGTCTCAATCCATCCCAACCCAAATCCACAGTCCGCTACCCATACCGCATTTCATCCCTTTCTTCCTTGCTATCTCATCTCCACCAGACTATTCTTTGATTGAGATTCTGCCGTTTGACAAGTAGAATGATATCGATTCCTATTATCTCATCTCGTGATTGTAATTGGTCCAAGATCAGAGAGATAGTATATTCCGTATAAATAGAATTTAATATCCCATGCCATCCCATCTCATTTCATCCCAATTCATTCCACATCAACCAAATTCCCTATTCATCAGGATTTTAATCAAAAGTCCTCAACGTCTAGGACCAACATCCAGACTAATATCCAGGACTCTCATTCTGTTCCCCCTATAATATTCTAAAAACAAATACCAGACCAAATAAACCACCTATCTTCAGATAATCTCAGATCTCAGTAAATTACGCATTCGAAGCCCACCAAATAGCGTGATAAATTCGACTCCAATCATATCCAACATATCATCCGTAATTATTCCCCCAAAAATAGCATACTTAGGTACCTAGATAATATCCAAACCATCTTAACCCAAACCCCCCTTCTCCCAAAAACAGGATCACATCCCAAACGTCCCACACATCTCCTATCCCAACACTCTATCCCCTCCTCACACAAAACCCCCATAAGTTCTCCCATTCTCAAACAACAACATGCATACTCATATGTTCCACCGCATCCTTAATACTCCTCATCCATCTCTGATTAATACAATACGGACACCTAATCGGTTGCTCCCCTTGCATCAACGAATTATCATTCTGTTCCGGGATTGCCGGCGTTACAATTCCTTGTGCGGTATGCAGTATGAAGGGTTGTTGAGGACTTCCACTACTCCCCGCTCGATTCGGATTCGGGGGTATAGGAGTTTCGACTCTATTTGCGTTTTGATTTGTAGGCGCTCCGTTATTTATGGGTGCGTTTACTTTGTTGTTTGTTTCATTTCCATGATTGTTCATATCGGAGAAGAGAACTTGGTTTTGCGGCATGTTATTGTTTCCTTGCATACCATTGCCGTTATTTTCACTTCCACCCCCACTACCACTCCCAGATCCATTCCTAGAGATTGTACCATCACTCCCTAATCCATCACCTTGTCTTCCACTACCTTCATCTCTACTACCTGCTTTCTTCAAGATCTCCGTCTTTGCCCTTCGGCATTGCTGTAAATGTACTTCAGCTCCAAATTCCCTCATCATCCGATCTCGAATTTCCACTGGTGCCGTATCTTTCGTAATCGTCATTAATTTTGGTAAGATTCCCATGAGAAATGGTAATCGACTAGCGCTATTCCTTTGCACTTTCGGTAGAACAGGTAGAACTTGGCCTGGAATTGCCATTCCATTACCTCCTCCATTATGTTGTTCAATAACTCTCGCTCCAGGAATAATATGTCCATTTTCCCCTTCTCCCGTCCTAACAACCATACCAGGGGGTATCCCCATCCCAACTCCTCCCACTCCCCCATTTCCATTCTGTCCCATCCCCACCGACATCCCTCCCACATTCCCATCCCACCCCCCATTAACCTGTCCTCTCCCTACTCCCCCCGCACCCGAATGTCCAACATTAACCAAATCATCCAAACAAGTATGTCTCTCCCTCAACACCGTAACCCTAGCCAGCGGTTCCCTCCCTCCCCTCCTCTCCCAATTACACCTCACCACAAAAGGACATCCCGGATCCCTCTTACACCCCACCCTCACTCTCCCCGTATCACTTTTTAAAATCCTCGGTTCGAAATGTGCTTCAATCGCCCAAGCATGGAGCGCTTCTTTAAACGCTTTGAGAGAGGGAAATTCCTGTCGTAATTGTAAAGGTGGCATTTGTGATGCCGGGTAAGACGATGCTTCGATCGCGGGCTGAATCGTATACGGAAGACGAGAACCAAATCCAATTCAAACCACTTCTCAAGATTCAGATCCCAACCACGTATTCCCACTAATTCCTTAATTTAAATCTCCCAATTTCACCCACAAAGCAATCCAACACTTCAAACAAATCTCCACGATTTCACAAACTCTTATTGCCAGGCAAACCAAAATGTAAAGCCCCCAATAAATCCCGCGCCCGTGGCAATCTTCAGCGTTACCGTTTTCGTTGCTCTTGCCTCACGATGCGTGGGGGAGATGAAGTCCAGTTCAAATCCAAGTCCAAGTCCAACTTGACGTTCAAGCTCAAGCACGTCCTCGTACAAATAGTAAACCCACCCCTCGCATCCAACAATCAAAACACTCACTCAATCACTCAATCAAATCAATCAAATCAATCCACACAGTCTTCCCAACACAACGCAACCAAAATCCCCTCCAGCGACTCGAGTAAACAAATTCCAAATTCTAATTCCCAAACCCAAACCTAACAAACCAAACCAATCGTCCCTCACTCGTATCACCAACAATAAATAACACTTCGTCTCAATCTTCAACCTCAATCTTCAATCACCCATCCAACTCATTCACTATTCAATCCAACCCAATCCAACCCAATCCAATCCAATCCCACATACACAAACACAAACTCAACACTCAACCCTCAAAACTTAAAGCCCAAAACTTTAAACCCAAATCCCAACCCCAAGCCAAAGCCAAAGCCAAAGCCAAAGCCAAAGCCAAAGCCAAACCCCAAGCCAAAATCAATTCAGAACAACAAAGCTGAATTCACATATGCAAAGAAGAGAGAGAGAGAGAGAGAGAGAGGAGTAATTGAGGAATCAGAATGTATGACAACTCGGAAGAGAGATAAAAGAAAAAGAAGAAAAGAAAAGAAGAAAAAAAAGACTCGAGTCGAAGTGGTGGCACCCATCATTCCATTTCTTAGGTAAGATTTTTTTCGGCAGGGGTAATGATGTTGATTAGTTGATTTTCTTCCATCCTGGGGACCTGGTGTGTCATTGGGGGAGTCACTGCATGGACCGGTCCGGTGTCAGCTGGCTGGTGATTATGGAATAGCTCACGCTCAATTAGAAAGAGGAGTTGGATTTATAAAGCTCACTAAGAGGTGTAAGCAATTTCTCAAGCTCACCCACCAGATGGTCGTGCCAATGACCTAGGGACTTTGGACTTGGTTTCAATGCCTATCAATATCAATATCAAATTGTTCACTTCACAATACAACATTCAAAACTCCACAAACTCTTCAGTCCATTCAATTGAGTATTTCGATGCTCGCTGCTTAGGTATTCATTCACACACACACTAAATAAAAACTTAGTCGTCGCTATCATCATGTCTTTTTATTTCCTCCCTCTCCTTCTCCTCCTCCTCCACATCCTCATCTCCATTCCCTCCTAACTGAAAATTCAATTGGTAACTAATTTCCTCCAACAAATGAAATTTCCATGGTATGTCCGTCATGCAGCCCAAAATGTTAAAAAGAAAAAAAAGAAAAAACAAGGGGTGATAGAGAAGCGCCATAATGATAACGCCCAGTGCCTCCCTAATATTCTTATCCCCGATAGAATGTGTACGAAAAGGTAAGAAGAATGGTATTGTGTAGAAAAGAAAAACGTGTTGATCTGCATCAAAATGAATTAGGTTTTGGCTGCCAAAAGGTGTACCAGCAGCTATTACCAACCCCTACAAAAGAATTGTCTGTACATCCGAAGCAGATTAAGAAACTGTAAGTGCGAAAAAAAAAGTAGCGGTAGAACATGTCGTTCACTGAATAGACGAGAGTTGTTTGCTCTCTCTTGTCGGTGCAGTACCAGATACATGTTGATGTAAAGGATATGATCAATAATACTATTGATATTCGACGTAAATAATAAGCTTATCGTTCCGTTGTAGAGCAATATCTAAATCATTTTCGCTCATTAGATTGGGCTTCTCTCCGCTGGGCTCGTCCTTGTAAAAAAGTGCAATTTCATCCCCTTGTGGAATCTTCAAGCGATCACTGATTTTCTCATAAAGTTGTTGGAACTGAATATCGGTAGGTACTCGAATGGCAATCAAGTCATCACCGAAATAGATCTTGACCTTCATAGCAGATGGAGATGGTTGTTGCCCATTAACATTATTGGCGGGAGATAATAATGAGTTGCTAGATGGTTGAGAGAGAGATGAGGTCTGACGTGTTGGTCCTTGACCATTATTGACTGATAATGATGATTGACCTCTTTGATGACCTGGAGCGGCTGTTAAGCCAGTAGGTGCCCCACTTGAATAAGTTTCGCCGTTCAAATCGCCCCTCGAAGATTGCCTGGATGCTGCTTGTGTTCTTGAATCATTTGATGACTGTTGTGAACCACCCGATAATCGATATTCTTCTTCCACGGCGTTTGGATCCATTTCGTAATCTCCTTCTCGAGGTGCAAAGAACTGCTTAACCAGAGTGCATCTCGAGATATATGGTGGTTGAGTTAAGAGGCTCTTGACATAGGCATCAAGATTATGTTGTCTTCCTTCGGTAATCGCGTCTGTGACATAGTTGACAGGTCCTGGCATATATGGCAGGCTTCTTTTCTGCGTACCAGTATTTCCTGCTTCCGCTGGGAACTCTGTCAAGAGTGCTATCTGAAAATCGTAAAAGTCTTCGTAATATCTCGAAAGTTCCCAATGCCTCCCATCTTCCAGCGCAGCCTCGATCACGAACCAGTATTTATCTTCAGCGAAACAGTATCGTGGGATCCGCGCTGATATTGGAGCGTATAATTGGGAAGTGGATTTAGATGGCACAGAATATGAGTTTTGCGGAACTTGTTGGGCGGGTTGAGCAGCTCTTGCTTGTTGTGATTGCCGTTGGTCCTGATTGTATTAGTTTTGAATTTCCAACTTCGCGTCTCCGTACATACATAGTTTTGACCATTCTGCTGACTCTGCCTCGAGTTCTGTTGTTGCAGACTCATTCTCTCCATACCCTGCTGCATTTGTTGTTGCTGTTGCTGTTGTTGTTGTGAGGAGCCATTGGGAACTTCGAATTTGCCCAAGGTGATACTACTGTTCTTATAATCGGCAGCCATCCGCTTCCATTCTTCCACTTTTGGCACGCCCGCTCTCTGAACTGCCTCTTGCGCATTTGGCACAGCTTTTCCAGTGCCCATATCACGTATCTCGATGAAATCAACTGGTATTAGTCCTGGCCCCCCAAGTCGTCCAATGGGTTTCGCGACAAACCATTCTGGATTCGATTGAGCAATCACGATGATTGCTTCTCCAGCCTTGGCTTCTAATTCATCGGGCCTTTCCGCCGCAAAATCGTACATAACCACTCCGTAAACCATCGCGCCGGTGCCTTTCATTGTCTTTGAAAATCTCTGACCTCCACCGCTATCTGATGGACTCGCCAGTGTCCCTGAGCCGGACATGTCGGAATAACCCGAATCATGATCCACCTTCATACCCATAGGCGACTTATCTGATAGAGATTGACCACTATCCCGCTCAGTCTTTCCTAACGCTTGAAAGTATGCAACAGGTACCAAACCCCTCGCATCAGGTACTGCAGGATTACATGCTTCATACCAATCCGTATCGTTTTCTCGTCCTATAACATGAAAGAAGTCGCCCCTCGTAAAACCCAATTCTTGATTTGATGTTGCCTCATAATCGTACAATGCGCGAATAACCTATAATAATTGCAGATCGTTAGGAAATGCGAACTTGATGCAAGTTGCGACTCATGCACACGAAATTCGGCATACCTTTTTGGGAGGGACAATCGCGACGGCAGATTTGGGCGTTAAAGAAATATGTTGAACTTTTGAATCGGGCTTCTCGCCTTTAATCGACCTACGAAGAGCCTGATAGACAAACATAATATGTTAGCGATGACTCCTCCCAACTTGTGGATTTTTCAAATCCTTAGATGAAGTCAGAAACTGGTTGGGTGGTTACTGACCTTCATTATTCAGATTGCTTTATCGTTATGTCGTACTCCTCGAGAATGTAAGCCAGGTCGGTCGGTCGGTCGGTAGGTGGTAGGTGGTAGGTAGGTAGGTAGGTAAATGAATGGAATGAATGAATGAATGAATGAATGGACAATAGAAGGAAGAGAAAGTAAGAAAAGCTTTCGAATTTTTGGAATTGTTGATATCGAGGACAGTAGTTATGATTGTCGACTAGAATTGGTGTAAATAATATTATGGCTAGGTATCGATCGATTGCTCTTGCTTCTTCTTCAACTTCTTCTTCTTCTTCTTCTTCTTCTTCTTCTTCTGCTGCTTCCTCTGCTTGTTTCTTGAATAACTTTCCGTTACTTTTCCTTTTCCTTTTCTCAATGCAACCCTTCCAACTTTCTTTATGGCGGCGATAAAACCCCAAGCGCTACTCCGAGTCCACTACTGTACACTACGAAATAACTAGCCTCGAGCTAGCATCCAAGAAGGGGGGACTGATAAGGTGGGGTGATTAAGCAGATGTGAATCCTGCAGAGGGAAAAAAGACTGTGGAATGATGGGTTATGGCTATGTTATATGTCGTATAAGATGGGAGTGAGAGATAGATGGGGCAATGGTGAGAAGTAAAAATCCTATCCTCTATATTGCGCGCGTTGTATGTGGTATAACTTGGACGAGAGTTGGTGGGAAGTGTGTGTGTGAGAACAGAATGGGATGAAGGCTGGCCTGCTTGCTTGCTTGCTTGCAATAAAAGAGGAGGGGTGGTATAAAAGAGTGATAAGCTAGTTGCAAAACGAGGTATATTTCTTCTTTTTGGAGGAAATGATTTTCTAGTATTCCTTTGAAACGGGCGATAGAATCTTTTTGAGAATCGAATGAACAAGGAGATAAACGGCAAACGGTAATGTAGCGTTTCTAGGTACTCTTTGAATAATGGCTAGGATCGAGTTCAATCTATTTTGAGTGTCGAGATTTGATAATGCATTGAAC